GCTCATTGTACACGTACAGCCCTTTGTAAATCCACTGCTGGATAAGGGCTTCCCCACGCCATGTGGGTCCGAGGCGGGCTTTGAGGGTCATGTGATCATACTTCACCGCACCGGGCAGCCGGCGCGTACAGGGAGCATAACATCGTAAAATCGTCGAATTTCCCACCGGCGCGAACCGCAGGTGGGCGCATGAGCCGCCACGCCTGACACTTTTGACATATCACTCACACAGCCACGGTGCCGGTAACATGTAACAAATGATTGCCTTTAAATGCGGGGTCGTTGCAGCATCAGCTCGACCACGTTGCGAGGCTGGGGGGGGGGGGGGTGCATCGCTCAGAGACAGGAATGAAACTGCCCCGGAGGTCAGAGGAAAGCCTGCCATGCCTGCGGAATGCCCGGTTTCCTCCTAAGACTCGCAACATTAAAACCACCGCGCGTGCTCTCTCTCTCTTGGAAGGTGGCTGGCTTTGGGCCAGGGGTCAGAGAACCGAGCCGGCAACACTGAGGGGGCCTAGGTTGGAATCCGGGGTTTTGAGCTGCCCGTGGCTCTGATACCGGGTTGCTCAAGTGTACAGTGATGGTGTCGGTCCAGTCACCAGTGCCGTACACAAACGAAACTCGTCGTGATGACATTCGTTATTTTTTTTCTCCCCCCCCATTTATATTTGGCTGTGTTCCAGCTCTGAGATTTTAAACTCTATCGGTTTGACTGCCACGTGCGGTTGTAAACCCACCCCCCTCCTGGGTAATACGATCAAGATTTTCTGATACGTGCTCATTTTAAATAAATACATTCTCGTTTAGTCGTGCTCCACATCTCTCCACACGCAAGTCGGTTAACTTGTTTTTTTTAGATACCCTGAATGCTCCACCATAGCTCTTGACAAATATACTTTTCTGGAGAGGAAATTGAAAGGGCTGAGTTAACCTCCCAACCCACACCGGGTTTCCAACCCGGATCATTCCTCTTGGGAGCCGCGGGCTCTGAGAACAGAAGCCCGGGTGAGTGAGGGGCAACCGCGCGTGTGCTTTGAGATGCATCAAGATCAGTGGTGGGCCTACGGACCAGTCGACGTTGTCCCATCATTGATCTTCCAGATGCTCTGTGAGTCTGCATCGACTTGGTCTCGAGATATAAATACGATCGCTCGCACCTTGCCATTGTTTAACATCATTGTTCATTCTCTGAAGATAGGGCAGCACTGAATCTAGTGATGCAAATGCCAGTTTCACAAAACATTCATTACTTTATTTATAAACAAAATGCTTAATATGTACAGCACGGTTTGTACGTGTGAAACGCACGCCCACACACATACACAACCTCCTACACACACCTCAGCGTACTCCCCGGTGCACACACGCCCCCCACACACATACAACACACCCACATCTCACACGCACAAAAAGACAAAGATCCCCCGTATAGCCTCAAAACCCGTTGGGGAAAGTGCTGTTAGTGAGCACCTTTTGAAGGTGGTTACAGCACACGAGGGCAGGGGTGGCCAGCGTCACGCCCGGCTGCCTTTGTCTCCCCAGTGGTGATGTTTACACACCACACCAGGTACTCATTTCAGGCCAAGTTCACCTAGGCCAGTGAAGGCATAGCTACTGCACAGGTTCAGGTTCAATTAACACTTGCCAAAGCTGTTACTATTTTTATTTTACCAGGTAAGGCCCACTGAGCTACGTAGCTCTTTTTCAGAAGTAACATAGCCGCAAATAACAGCTCAAGGAAGTGGCTTATCACGTGTAAATTTATAGCAGCCAAATATTTTGAATGCACGTTGATTCTAAATGTGGCGGGCGAAACCGGAGGACCTGGAGAAACAATCCACGCGACCACGGGGAGAACACGCAAACTCCTGCGTACCAGGCGAGGTCGTTAGCATCTCGCCAACACGGTGCACATTTATCTCCCTCGCTGTTAATACGTACACTGAACAGTCATTTGTTAGCCGTAGCCGGGAATTGAACTCAAGTGGGCCGATGCTTTTAGCGCAGTGCGCTGACCGTAGTTACTTTGCCGCTCCAGCAATTTCTTTCCCATCTCAATATTTTCACTTGCATTATAAAAGAAAAAAAGAAAAAAAACACATCCTTCGCTCCTCTGTTACCGCCCAACGTTGCATCCAGCTTTCGAAAATTCCCCCGAGGCGAAACGGTGCCGCCCGTGGACGAAGGGGGAAATTGATTGCCATCATTACTGAGCTAAGCGCTGAGCCCAGCACAGCGCCTGTCCTGTCATATGTGCAAATTTTGCTCCCTCGCTGTAAACAAGTTCACTGGAGTGCACTGAACAGTCACGTGTCCGTTCCTAACATGCATAATAATAATATGTAAAAGTTCAGCCTTTCTGTCAATTCTATTCTATTCTTACGCATGGCAATATATTCGCGAGCTAAATGCCAATGTCGAGGTCTGCTGCTGGCCACGCACGACGAGCGGGCTTCAGGAGAGAGAGTTTTTGTAGTTTTGCCATTCCTCCATTGAAGGGGCTCGCAGGCGACAGTGGGTTTACTTTTGCCGTCCATAGTTTGGGCTGCGTGGCCACAATCGCACGCGCTACTGTGGCTTGTGTCCATAATTTTCCATTCGTGACGGAGACGTGCGCATCGGCCTGTCGATGTTCTGACGCCGTCGGTGATTCCACCGCCGGCGTCTTCGGGCAATCTCGAAGCCGGACGGTGCGGTGATGTTTGGGTTCTCGAATATTTTTTTTTAATTCTGGATGCGTCCACATTCTTCCACTCTCTTCGCCAGCGTCCTTCAATACACTGATGGCCAAACGTCTCCCGAATACCAACTTAGTTATGGGAGTTTTGCTAAACATACTTCACCTGGCTGGTCCTTGTGTGCCCATGATCAGCATTCGGTTTGACAGCAGAGGTCTCACTTCCGAGTTAGTCGGGCAACATTATCTTTTCATCGGCTGCGCACTGCTGTGTGGAAGCCACCAGGAAGATGAATGTAATTGCCAGCTGAACGTCACGGTACATATATTGTAAACGTTGTGGATTTACTGTCCAAGACATCGGTGGGCTGAACAAGCAATTAATTGGTACATTTTGTTTACGTGACAAACCGTACCAATTGGCTGTGTCGGGTGGTGCTTCTTTAATGACACATTTATATTCACTGGACAATCATTATCGAGGGCTTGATTGTAATTTTAAAGTATTTTTTTCTCTCGTAAAAATGTACGTAGGTGAGTCCAGGGCTGTCGTCCTAAGTACATAGCTTCAAGATAAGAGCTGTGGGTTTTTTAGGTTGCAAAGATGTAAGCGTTTCAGCCTACTGGCCATCAAGAAGTTAGATTGTTCAGGATATGTTCCCTAAAGATAGGATATCGGTCTAAGCATTGCAATCTGCCTCTCCTGAGTGACTGAATTTTTTTTTTATGTTGATTTAAACTGTTATTTATTCAACGTGTTAACCCCTGATGTGCCCACCCAATGTTTGTAATGTTTGACAGGGGTTAGACATTGGCCTGTGAATGTTTGAGGAATGGAATTTTTGTGGACAATGTTCAATTTGCGCGAGAGGTGGTGTGCTGTTCTGACGTGGTCGATGGTTACACCACCAGTGTCTTGGGGCAGTGTCGAAGCGAGACGGTGCTGTGACGTTGGGGTTCTCGAATGATTTTCTTTCATTCTTGGATGTGTCCGCATTTTTCCGCTGTCTTCGCCAGCGTTCTTCAATACACTGATGGTATTGGTCGCGAAAGCCTACGTGTTAAACTGACGAACCTCCATGGAGAGAGGATACTTTTCTTCAAACCAGAAAATAATGGAGCTGGTTATAATTACCGGCGAAACATCGCAATCAGATTGTAAGTGTTGTGGCTTGGCTCTCCAACACACTGGTGGTGCTGTACTCGTGACGAATTGGCAAGTCGTGTTTACGTGGCAAAACCTTACGGTGTCGGATGGTGGCGAGTTTAACGACACATTTATATATTTACGCGATCTAACCCAACAACCTATATTATTGATGATGATGATTTACATATATTTTTGGGGGGATAACCTCGAGATACAGGATAACTCCTCTCCACGGCGATACACTTGGTGACAAATGTCGCAGGGTCCTGTCATCTGCAGGATTATCCGCGAATTTGCGTCACTCATCCGCTAAATAAACCGCGGGTGGGGTGACTGCACACCCGTCCCTTGATGAACTTTGGGAATAATTTGCGGATAACAGGATGGTCAATAGGGGTTCTCGCAGGCTTTACCACCCGCGGACAATAGGTGTCATGGGTGATAGGGCTGTGGATAAGAGGAGTCCTCCAGTATGTGATGATGATGATGATAATTTTGTCTAAATGCCGCTACTGATATTGATGATAATGAGAGATGATGATGATGGTGTTGAAGATGATGATGATAATGACAGTCTATTTTTAGGATGATGATGATAATGATGACGTAAGAACATGATGACGATGATGATGATGGGGATGAAAATTGTGATGACGATGAAAACGATGTGGATGGCAACAATATTAACGATGACCCTGCCGATGATGATGGCGGTGGCGACAATGAAGACGATGATTGATGGTGTATTTTGATACTGATGAAGATGACGTTATGACGACGATGACAACGACAAACGGCAACGATCTTAACATTGGCGATGGCGACGATATTAAACGACGATGACGACCGTAACGACAGTGCCGATAAAGATGACCACCACGACGACGACTCCGCTAACGACGACGACGATGACGACGTCAACGACGACGACGATGACGACGTCAACGACGACGATGCTGATGACCACGTCAACGACGACGATGCTGACGACGACGTCAATGACGACGATGCTGACGACGATGATGCTGATGACCACATCAACGATGACGATGCTGACGACGACGTCAACGACGACGACGCTGACGACGACGTCAATGACGACGTCAGTGACGACGATGCTGACGACGACGACGACGATGCTGATGTCGAACGTTGGATCTTTCCCCCCCGCAGGTGTCCTCTCCGGGGACGCCCGTCGAGCCGAGGCCGCGCCTCTGCCACATGGTGAAGGGCCCTGGCGGCTACGGCTTCAACCTGCACAGCGAGAAGAGCAAACCAGGCCAGTTCATCCGCGCCGTCGACGACGGCTCCCCCGCGCAGCTCGCCGGCCTGCTGCCCCAGGACCGCATCGTCGAGGTGCGGCTCGTGCACCCCCTCCCCGCCTCGACAGTGCGGTGCCAACAAACGAGACGCGTGGCCCTGCGGGAGCGCTCGTCCGCGGTGTTGTCGACGGAGCTGTTGAGGTTTTTTTTCCGTTGGTTGTTTACCCACTGCCCCGAAATGTCGCCGAGTATATATATGTGTTTTTGTTTTTGAGACCGCGGTGTTCGCCACCTCGTTTCGTTACAGGTTGGCTGTCTCGGACAAATCCCGGTCGTTTTGCGATCCACTAACTCTTGTAGGAGTTTGCTTAAGCTGCGTGCTTTTGGTGATAAAAACAAATCGGCAGTTCAAAGCATTATGGGAAATCGCACAATGAATTTCAGGCCTTTGCAGAGTTCTGTAAATGCGCCAGGGTGAAGACGAGCCAACAGCCTCGGATATTTTTGTTTAAAGTCGCAATTTTATTCCTTTTCAATTTATAAGTAAAGCTCCTTTCTCCACTTGACGTCTGGAGAGCCCAGGATTTCTTTGTTACCGCATTGATTTTGTGCTCTGGAAAGGGAGAGCGGGGGAGAGAGAGGCTGCCAGAAAATGAAATCTTCGCCTCGAGATACGAATCTTGTCTTGAAAAAAAACATTCTCCCCAGAGATGCCCCGCAATGGGCCCGTGAAAATTGAGTCTAGACGACGCTGAACTCTGAACTCCGATGAAAATTGGCAGCTCTGGTTAACTCGAAACAGTTAACAAAACACAACGGCACTGCTCATAGGTGAAGAATTTAGATGGTTATCGGAATTTGCCGTGGCCCAGTGCGTTTCTCCGTCCAACGGTATATTAGTCTGTGATACATGTCCGTTTAGTCTGTTTGATATGACGTCTGTAAGATCAGTCTATACTTATGTGTTCGTGTATGTAATATCGGTCTTTTGGTCCATCTGTGTGATGTTCGTCTCGTATCCGTCATGTGTGTCTTTGATGTGTGTCAGTCGGTGTGTGACGTGTGTCTGCATAGTCCGTCCATCTAGCCATCACTCAATCTGTCCATTCGTAATTTTTCTTCGTGAAACAAATAAGTATCGGAGTGGCCCTCGTCTCTGCTGAGCGATACCCAAGCCAACGGTGGACATTCCACATTCTTGTGATGGGGGGCAAGGATGTCCACTGGAATACAACTCTTTACTTCCCACAGTATGACCCCAAGCAGTTTCATAAAGTAGTTAGGCGATGTGTCCCATGAATGATGTATCCTGTGCAATGTTAATCGTCGGAGTGCATTGTCGATGCACACGCCATCAAAGTGCAATCGCACGGCAAGACCCGCACCGGAATGAGCTCGCACGTCTTTTGAGAGCCAAGGAAAGTAGAGGGATGAATTTGAAGGGTGTCCTGGGAAGGGGTAGATGGGGCAGATGGTTTCACAGCAGATAGGGCAGCCAGAGAGTGAAGCTGAAATTGAAGACACGTCATTCAGAGAGAGAGAGAGAGATAATCGGTCGATAGCGGAGGAGGATAGGAAGGGGGCAAGAACTGCCTGGACTTGAACAGCAAAAGGAACCCGACAGATAAGATGACCGGGGACGTGGGTTCAGGACCACGAGCGCAGCAGCAGAGGAAGCGACCTCCTACTAAGCAGAGGCTGACAGGGGCCTTCGATGGAAGGTTTTGCTTGCTGTAACGGAGAGCGACTGTGGAGGGGAGTAGAGTGAGGGGAGAGGTGGGAGAGTGAGATGAGAGGGGAGAGGTAGGAGAGTGTGTGGAGGGGAGTAGAGTGAGATGAGAGGGGAGAGGTGGGCGGAGGTGAGTCCATGAAGGATCGTGTTGTTGGCAGGCTAGGTATATATTTTTGCAGGTGGTATGGTAGATAGGTTGATAGGGCATGAAGATTGCAAAATTGTAAACAGAGATTAAATTAGTTGACAAGTAGACTGGCAGATTGGTAGGTAATTATAGAGTAGGAACGGTTTGTAGGTTGGTAGGATAGGCCGGTTAAGTCGGCAGATTAGTATGTGTCAGTGCTTCTTGGATAAGCGTGGGAGGTTAAGGAACACCTTGGCAAGCGTGTCCACGTGCCGCCCCCGTGTCTCCCCCGCCCTTTGCTCAGTAAATGTTTAGGCGGCTCTAACTGGGCTGCCTCGGCTCTGGTTTCACGGTTAATAAAAATAAAAATTCACCCTTGGCCAACGGTCTCTGTCAACCGCCGTCCGTTTAAAAAAAAAAAAGCCTCCGGTCAGCAGCCGCGTTGCCAGGATCGCCGCGTTGCCAGGATTGACCCATTGCCAGGATCGCCGCGTTTTCAGGATCGCCACGTTTCCAGGATCTCCGCGTTGCCAGGATCTCCGCGTTGCCAGGATCGCCGCGTTTCCAGGATCGCCCCTTTGCCATGATCACCCCATTTCCAGGATCGCCCCGTTTTCAGGATTGCCGCATTGCCAGGATCGCCGCATTTCCAGGATCGCCCCGATGCCAGGATCGCCCCGTTTCCAGGATCGCCGTATTGCCAGGATCGACCCGTTGCCAGGATCTCCGCGTTGCCAGGATCGCCGCGTTGCCAGGATCGCAGCGTTGCCAGGATCGCCGCCGTGGGTTTGGACTCAAACCGGCAATGACAACGGCAAAAAAACTGACCTGGGAAGGGAGAGAGAGAAGCCACAACAGTTGGTTTTTGTTATTGAGTGCAATTATGTACAATAGCCATATCAGACATTAGCACACGTAAATCGGCATAATCATCGGTTCACTGCAGCTCAAAGACTCAGTAGTCCTACAAGGCGTGCGGTGTAGTTATGAGATGCGTGCTCGGCATTTGAAGTCCTGAAGACCAGAATCTGTGATCTCGCCGACCAATGTGTTCATCAGTTCCATATCCGGACAGCAGAGTGAAGAAAGGGAGCTTCTGTCCAGGGCAAACTGCTCGACGGGCGCCGCTCGTCTCCGCGAACGTTGCCAAGCCAAAAAAAAACAAAACACTCAAACACGCTGTCATCAATAACACCGTGGCCATAAAAGTGAGAAGAAATATATAACAGGTGACGTGTCGGGCAATGTCTCGGGTTAAGTCGAAGGGCCATTGCCCCAAGCATTGCCTATTATATATATTCTTTCCACGGTTTCTGCCACAGTGTTATTGACGAATGTGCTTTGCCTTTTTTATTATGTGTGGTTATGCACCACTGCCAATGCCGTTTTATGTATCCGGCTTTTTCACGAAAAGTTTGAGTAAAAACAGGTGGTGGAAATTCCCGCATTCACATGGCAGGGGACCCACGGTGGCCATCGGACAACAAAAAAACCAACAACCTTTTGTTGACCGCTTCTCACAAAGTGGTGCAGCCTCACGCCACCAACACTGGGGGGACCGATGATGATGATGGTGATGATGATGATGGCGATTACGATGGTGGCGGTGGCCTGGTTGTTGCAGAAGATGACGGTATTGGCCACGATGATAACAATGACGGTGTCTGATAATGATGGTGATTTAAACTGACTCTTAAAAGTTGGGAACCCTTGCGAGGGATCTCCCGATGTCGTTGTGTGATATCCACTTCTGGTGGGCCGCTCTCGATCGCGGTGCATTGCCCTGCTCTGCGAGAGTTCCGTCTCGTGGCGCGGGGCGGACGGCACAAAAGGCGTTCGAATCGAGGGGAGTTGCAGGCGAATGCCTAAAATGTGGTGATCGGAGCCTCTGGCATTTCCAGCCAATTCCGAAGTGTCCTCCACGTGCGCGTGCACGGGGAGCCGCTGCGTCCCCTCTTGCTCCCCACGACGTGCCGTGCGCGGCGCTTCTCTCCTGAAAAACAAGCGCCGGCTGTGCCAGCCCCCGGTGGTGGGGGGGGGGGGCTACGGGGGGAGATGGCTCTCGCAAACGTGTCACGGCGAGACTCTGTACGCTGCAGAGTGTGCCGGGCGTTGCCGACAGACGCACAGGCAGCAGAGTCGACACACGGACGATGCTTCTGCCTTCACGTATCCGTCTCTGCGCGTAAAATAACGATGAAAGTGTTCCTTGTGCAACTCATCGGCCGCGCGGCCTTCTGGGAGTGCGTCATTTAATCAGCAACGATTCAATACACGCAAACTCTGGACGAGTTTCGACACACAGTGGTCTCATCAGCAGAGTCAGACTTTGCTTGAATCAATGGTCCTGAATTGCCAGATGTTACAGGTAAGACCCCTATCTCTTTGCGATATGGGTCTTAGTTCAACGCAACATTTTGTAGCGATGCATAACTCCAAATAATCATCAGCACCGTTGTGGAGAATATAAAAAACCTAAATAAACGCATAGGTAGGGTAGGGAGGTCGTGTTTAATGATTGATTGATCAATTGATAAATGATTTTCCTTCTTACAGAAACAGCATGGGAACTTAGCAGCATTACTAAGTGTATGCCGGGTGCTAATTATTGCTTACAGAGACCCGTGTAGCCTGAACAGACGTTTGCGGCAAGTGCTGTTAGCGAGCAGCACCTATTAAGCCCAGTACGGAACACGTGGGGGTGGGTGGCCAGCACCACGCCCAGCCGCCTTTGTCCCCTAGTAGCGACGTTTCCACTCCGCACCAGGTACTCATTTTAGGCTCGGTCGACCTACGGGGAAGGCCCATTACTGGTTCGGATATTTGTCACTGGTGTTGACCGTGAACGGGAATCGGACTCGGGCCGCCGGGTTCGTGGCGTAGCGTGGCGCTAACCGCTGCTCTGCCGTTACCCAGACACAGAGGCACGCAGGCACAGAGACACAGACACAGAGACGTATCGAGACAGAGACACGTATGCAGGTTCCATGGTCGCAGCGCTCTTTAGTGCGAGCGCAGGTGATGTCCCGGCGTTTAATTTCACCCGCGTGTTTGCGTGAACGCCACACCCCCCACACCCCCCCGTCGGCACTAATCTCCGCCGCCACCACATTTAGCACCAAAGTCTGCCCGCGATTATTTTCATTTTGCCCGCAGCTGCCAAAACTGTCGCTCCGAAAATAGCGTGGGTGGTGGTGGTGGGTGGTGGTGGTGGGTGGGTGGTGGTGGTGGTGGGTGGGTGGGTGGTGGTGGGTGGGTGGTGGTGGTGGGTGGGGGTGGTGGTGGGTGGTGGTGGGTGGGGTGGGGGTGGCCGCTCGGTCCGACCACCCCATGAGCGAGGAGGCAGTGGAGATGTTCAACTCCTGGACGAAGGGCGCCGAACGATGACCACGGCGTCTTTCGTTGAATATTTCTGACGTGTGGATTCTCTATTCTGCTTTGTTCTCTCTCGGTCGCGCGTTCTGAGGGTGATGTGCGACGTGTCCGATTCGGAACTCGCGTGGAGCGATGCTGCGCCAGGCCGTGCCGGAGATCTGCCCGCGGAAGAAACTGTCACAAAACTGGTTCTGAGGCCTCTGCAATGTGAAGAAACTGTCACAAAACTGTCTCTGAGGCCCCTTCAAAGTGAAGAAGATGTCACAGGACTGGCTTTGAAGCCCCTTCAAAGTGAAGAAGATGTTACAGGACTGGCTTTGAGGCCCCTTCAAAGTGAAGATGTGATAGAACTGGCTTTGAGGCCCCTTCAAAGTGAAGAAGATGTCACAGGACTGGCTTGAGGCCCCTTCAAAGTTAAGAAGATGTTACAGGATTGGCTTTGAGGCCTCTTCAAAGTGAAGAAGATGTTACAGGACTGGCTTTGAGGCCCCTTCAAAGTGAAGAAGATGTCACAGAACTCGCTGAGGTCTCTTCAAAGTGAATAAGATGTCACAGGACTGGCTGAGGTCTCTGCAAAGTGAAGAAGATGTCACAGGACTGGTTTAGGGCCCTTCAAAGTGAATAAGATGTCACAGGACTGGTTTAGGGCCCTTCAAAGTGAATAAGATGTCACAGGACTGGTTTAGGGCCCTTCAAAGTGAATAAGATGTCACAGGACTGGTTTAGGGCCCTTCAAAGTGAATAAGATGTCACAGGACTGGTTTAGGGCCCTTTAAAGCGACCTCGTACCCGCGCTCGGGGGCGCACTGCGCTTTCCCACGTGGTGCCACTTCATTGAGGGATGTTTTGTTGCATGGCAGTCAAACCGAGGTTTTATTATTGTTATGATTTTAATTGCGTTCAGAGCTGGAATTTTGCCAAATTAAGGGGAAAAAAACCCAAGTTTTATTGGTCGCGCCGGTTACCGGAAATTCTCTACGGGTATGCCACCAATTGGTGGCTCAAGCGCAGATTGGAACCCAGCTTCACAGCGGTGCTGCCTCCGGTGCCACAGCCCGTGAGTTATCCGACCTTCTCTTATCCGACCTTCTCTTATGATTCTAATTTTAAGCCGAGGAGTCTCACTGCTCAACTTGGCAAGGGCCCCGGCCTGGCTCTCCAATAGCCTGGCTCTCTACTGGTTGACTACGCCCCACAAAGCAGTGCTCATGCCATAGGCCCGGAGGGATGAAGGGCAACCGGGTCGGCAATCAAACCTGGGCCTTGCCTGCCGCGAGGCGCGAGAGTTGCCACTGCACTGCCACCCGGACGGCGACGGCGATGACGGTGACGACGATGTGGGGGAGGCCGATTTGAACCCGTGTGTGGTGGGTGGCGGTGGTGGCGGTGCTGCTGCAGGTGAACGGGGTGAACATCGAGGTGAAGCGGCACAGCGAGGTGGTGTCGCTGATCAAGGCCGGCGGGGACGAGACGCGGCTGCTCGTGGTCGACCCCCCGGCGGACGAGTTCTTCCGCCGCTGCGGCGTGTCCCCCTGCCCCGCTCACATCGCCGGTATGCGCTCACCGCCGTGGCTCACCACCGCAGCTCACCATCGCAGCTCACTACCGCAGCTCACCAACGCAGCTCACCACCGCAGTGCACCTTCGCAGCTCACCACCGCAGCTCACTCCGCAGCTCACCACCGCAGCTCACCACCGCAGCTCACTCCGCAGCTCACTCCGCAGCTCACCACCGCAGTGCACCTTCACAGCTCACTACCGCAGCTCACCACTGCAGCTCACTGCCGCAACTCACCAATGCAGCTCACAATCACAGCTGACCGCTACAGCTCACCACCGCAGCTCACCAACGCAGCGTACCTCAACTTACCGGTCCACACTCACTGCAACTCACTGCAACTCACTCACCCACAACTCGCTCATCTCACCACAGCTCGCCAGTAAATACTCGCCTCACCATATCTCACCGGTACACACCTCATCACAACTCACCGGCACACTCACCTCACGACACTTCATCAGTAAAAATTCACCTCCCTTCAACAGAGTGTACACACTCGCCACAACTCGCCACAACTCGCCACAACGCACCGATATGCACTCACCTCACCGTACCGCACTGCCTGGTATTGCCAGACAGTCTCCCACGCGAGGACTTACCGGCCTCAAACTTTGCTTCCAAAACTTCCACAATGTGCACACGCACACCTGTGGAGAAGGGCATCACCATGCAAGGCACACCTGCCAGGCACCACCTCATCAACTCTTGGTCACCTCGTTGCCTAGCCACCTCGTCACCTTGTTTCCTCACCACCTTACCACTTCGTTACCTAGCCACCTCGTCACCTCGCCACCTTGCCACCTCGTCACCTCGCCACCTCACAACCTCTCCAGCTGTCCACCTGTCCACCTCTTCACCTCTTCACCTCGTCACCTCGCCACCTCGTCACCTCGCCACCTGGTCACCACGCCACCTCGTCACTTCGCCACCTGTCCACCTCGTCACCTCGCCACCTTGCCACCTCGTCACTTCGCCACCTCATCACCTCGTCACCTCGCCACCTCGTCACCTCACCACCTGTCCACCCCGTCACCTCGCCACCTCGTCACCTCGCCACCTCGTCACCTTGCCACCTGTCCACCCCGTCACCTCCCCACCTCGTCGCTTCACCACCTCACTATCTCGCCATGTCACCAACTCACCACCTCACCTCTTTGTTACCTAGCCACGTCGCCACTTCACCACCTCGCCACATACATCTCCGCCGTTATGCTTCAGTTGCGACGGCCTGTTGTCAGCCAGAGGAGTGTTCTGGGAGTTTCCGATGGGCTCATTAACGCGTGTTGTTTTCACATTATCGCATCCTCAAGGCGGTCGTTAGTTTAATTGAGCTCTGAGGTGCGGGGTGAAGTTTCAGGTGGCGTGGGGTTGGGGGCGGTGGTGGAAGGGGGCTGGGGGTGCGGGCGCGTAGCCCAGCGTTAAACAAATCCTGCCAAACGTGAAGCGCTCGGAACACAAAACAGTCAAACGTGCCAGCATTAATAATCATAATAATAATAATAGCGGCCAATGCAAGTTGATTCATCAAGGCCGGCCGTTCGAAAGCGCTCCACCTCGCTCTCGTCCACCTCTTCAGTTCGCCGTTCAGAACCCGGAGTCCACCTTGAGCAGCTGTCCCACGATCTCTCTCATTCCATTGTTTTCCCGTTGCCTCGCATCTTGGCGGACGCCTCCCGTTGCCAAGAGCACTCGCCCGTACGTGAACCTCTGCTTTGCTCGCATTCTTTCTGAGGAGTCTTATTTTTATTTCTACTTTTTTATATTGTACCAGGCGAGGCCCACTGAGCTCCATAACTCTCACTGAGAAGCGGACCTGGCTGTCACAAACGATGACCCACCGAGAAGTGGCTTATCACGTGGATGTGTATAGCAGCCAAATACTCTTGAACACGTGTTGATAAAAAATGTGGGGGCGGTGGAGTTGGGGGGTGGGGGGGAACCGGAGGACCTGGAGAAATATCCACGTGACCTCGGGGAGACAAACGTGCAAACTCAAAATATACAGGTGTCAGGTTAGGGATCGAACCCATAATCTCCTGCATACCGGGCGAGGGAGATAACATCTCGCCACGGTGGCGCCCATCTTTGCAGCCTCCTCTCTTAAAGTCCTAACGTTTCCTGCCGTTCATTTCCTTTGGGCGTTATACGTAGTAGTAGTAATAATAATAACGACGTCATTAGCAAAATATGAGGTCATTAAGTTTTTTCCCACTTATATGTCCAGCTTGTGTTTCGCCAATCCCAAGTTTCAGATGGAAGCACCCTCTCGTGGCACTGTGAATAACTTCGTTCAGGACTATAGAAATGGCAATAAGCGTACAAAGGCGTTGTCTAATCCAGCAGTGGATTGACAAAGCCCTGCGAATATTATTGTGATTACTACCCACAAATGTAGCTCTGCTGATCATATCTGGATTTGAATTAACGACGTCCATTTCACCGAGATGATGGTATCGGTTGTGTTCAACCCATTTCCGTTCAAGGCGACTGCAAGTTGCAGGGTGGGTCCCGTTCGCCGCTAATTCTCGGAAGGCATAAGGGGTCAGCGTTAATATTATTTAGAGAGGCGTAGCGCCGTTGTTTGTAAAGACATTGCGCTCACCGCAGAGAACCGTAGCAACACGACCGCTGATCTATGATAGCTGGCATGCCAAACTGTTCCACACGCCCTCCCACGCATGGTCTTGTGGGAGCCTCGGTACAGATAAAGTAATTTTAATCTGATTTTTCCTTCGTGTTCTGTTCCGATGGCCTACACGTACGTCATCGGAACGGGAAAGGGTTCAGGTCGCACAAAAACACGAGGTGGGCCACCACGCGAAGGCTATACCGTGTCCCACCAGGAACATCACCAAGGGTTCCCCTCCACATCGAGAATCAACATCGCGCGTCTCAGGGTATTTGGCTGCATAGAATTTCCACGTGATGATAAGCCACTTTTGTCGAGCTATCATCTGTGGCCATTTCGCTTCTGAAATAGAGCTCCTGTAGCTCGGTGGGCCTGACCTGATAAAATATTGTTTTTTTAGTTTAGTTTTAGTTTAGGCCGATGCGTGTACATCTCCTTTATAAACGACAAATGAAGGGCAATCGGCAGTTGTGTGCAACTGTGGCCATGCAACCCAATCTTTGGAACCACGGAGTTAAACCACTGCAGTCCTGCACGCTTCTTCAATGGAGGAGGAATGGCAAAGCTACACGAATTCTCTCTCTCTTGAAGCCGCCTCATGGCCAGCGGACCGACATCGACACTTAGCTCCTGAGCATATTTCCGCACGCGAGAATGTAATATAACAACCCACGAATGTTCCTCAACATAATTGGTCCGTGTGTTGCGACAAGCCTCCCAACAATATCGCGTTGCCATCCGCTCCCGAGCGGTTACTTAACGGCCCGAGACACTGTACGCACGTGACGAGCAATTGTTCTGTCCCGTTGCGGTCAGTTGAGCGCAGTAAATACGATCGCATCAGCTGCCCCATCGCCAAACCCTTGCAAGCCGCTCGCGGCCTCTCGCCATCACGAGGCCTCCCCTCGCCCGGCGCAGCGCGTTCCGGCGGGGGTGGTGGCCGCGGTTTTAGGCCTTGCTTATTTATTTATTTGCAGCAAAGTATCGTTCTCGAACAAAGCGGAGCCTTCACGCGCGTAATTATGTTTTTTTTTACTTTTTGATCCAAAGCCTCCGAGTGGCGGGGGTGGCTGCGCGTGGTGTTGGGAGGGAGGGAGAGGGGGTGACAGGGTGGCACGGGTTGATGCGGGGAAAACAAGCGGCGCTCTGTCGCTCTCGCTTAGGGGAGAATGCGAACCGCCGGCACTCCCCTGCTTGGCGTCCTGCGCATTTGCACCCCCACCCCCCGCCCGCTCCCTCCCCATTCCCCCCGACCCCCCCCCTATTCCCCTCCGCCCCCCCCCCGGCCCCCCTTCCGCTCGGTACTTTTTGCGTTTATTGGCAACACAGGGTCCATCGCGGTTGTGGGAGTGGAGTGGGGGGGGGGGGGGGGGGGTCGTCCTCTGTACGTGTTCCTGCGCTGTGTTGCACAACGGCGCCTTGGTGCCTGGCCCAAGCTTCATAAATCGGAGTTACATGAAAAGTTGAATTGTTTATTTACTATTTATATTTAGTGACTTGCGTATTTATATTTAGTGACTTGCGTACATTTTTTCTCTATTTTGCGCTCCTATCGTTGTTTCGGCTTGTCTGCTGTAGTAACTTGCTGACCCCGTGGGCCCTACTGGACATCTGTGAAAAAAAAGAGCGTCCGCAGCTCATCGGAATCCTCCTGCAGTCTAAAATAAAGATTCTGAGCCCGAGTTGTTTGGCACGATGCGTGACGTTTCGCTTGCGCTGGGAGCTTCTCTGAGAACGTCGTGGAGAGCGGCATGGTGCGTGGCCGCCACAAACTTAACCATTCTGGCAAATCGCCCGATGATGCTGGATGTAATTACCAGTGAAACGTCATACTACTCAAATTGTAAATGTCGTGGATTTACTCTCCAACACACCGGTGGGCTGTAGTCGTAACGAATTGGCACGTTGTTTACGTGACAAACCTTACTGGCTGTTTCAGGTGGTGTGGAGGGTTACGACACCACATTTCTACTTACGCGATGTCACCCAAAAATCTTTATTGTGAATCATATTGGTCGCGAAAGCCTACGTGTTGAACCAACTTAATGCCGCCGCGTTTCGTCGCCGCGCTTCACCTCTTGGTTTTTTTGTGCTCTTTTTTTTTGTATTTCGCAGGTCCCTTGCCACAGCCCCTGCCGAACGGGACGCCGAAGAGCCGGGTACGCAGTCGTTTAGCTACGGCGTCGCCGCACTCACACGGCCGCCGAGGCCAAGCGTTTTCCCTGCTCAAATGAGCGTGGGGCAAGGGGGGGGGGGGGGGTGGCGGTGGTGGTGTCTGTCTCCGTCGGTGATGGAACCGAGCTAGCGGTGAAAATTCCATGTTCCTTTTGTTCGGGCGGGGGCTCGCCCATCCTCGCGACACCAACCGCTTCCGACTCCCCACAAAAGGAGAATCTCGCGTGATGGACTGCGAAGAGACGATTGGCTGATTGAACTGAACAATGATTGATATTTACAGGTAAGGCCCCACTGGGCTCTTATTCAGAAGTGACCTGGCTATCACAAATGTTAGCTCAACGAAGTGGCTTATCAAGTGGAAATTCGCAGCAGCCAAAGACTCTAAAAGCACGTTGATTCTAAATGCATAGGGAAAAACCTGGAAGTGCCAGAGAAAAATCCACACGAATACGGGAAAAGAGACCCGCAAACTCCAAATATACAGCAGGCGTCAGGGTCGGGATCGAACCCACGGCCTCCTGTATACCTGGTGAGGTCGTTAACATCTGGCCAACAGGGCCATAATTTCTCACCAAATAGTTTCTGGGTCAGTGGTAAATACTTCCTGAGAAAAGTGAAGAAATCTCACTCCCAGAAACATTGCTTTATTTCACGATTATAATTCGTATTGGCCAGCTTACGGTGTGACCAGGATGCCTCAACTTAACAAAACAAAATTGTATGGTTTGAAATCCCGGGAAGAAATTGATTCGACCCATCGACAGAACTTGCGCTTTCGTTATTTCCGCTGGCAAGGCCCCAATGAGCTACAATGATGACGATGGCCCAAGACGTTAGCAGTGGTGGCAGTTACAGGACATGGCAGGCTGGGAACAACCTTTTTGACTCGATGCAATGAGCAACAACGATTTGATTGATAGACAACAGTGGCTAAGCCAATGGAAAGACTGTTTTGCACCATAAGAATGAGGAATTTCCACCACTAGTAAAAAAAAAAACAGATTGACATAGCCTAGTCGTAATTTGAACAGGGAGACACTTTGACCCGAATTCGTTCATGACTGAAATGCACACTGAAGCACATGTTTGTGTTGCACACACCATGCTTGTATCCGAGTGCCCTCTTAAAGGGAGTTATAGTTTACCACCCCCCACCCTCCGTGTGTGTGTAGGGAGCGGTGGTGTAGCGGTCAGCGCTACGCTAAGCTACGAACCTGGCGATCCAAGTTCAATTCCCGCCTCAAACGAGTACCTGGTGCGGTGTGTAAACATCGCCGCTGGGGAGACAAAGGCGGCTGGGCGTGGTGCTGGCCACCCACCCCCTCGTGTGCTGTTCAGGCTTTCATAGGTGCTGCTCACTAACAGCACTTACCCCAACAGTCTGTTAAGGCTACACGTGTGGGGAGTAGTGGTTCGGGTTGGCGCACCACGCTACAAATCCGGCGACCTGAGTTCTATTCCTGCTCACGGCCACCATCACCAGTGACGATTATCTGAACCAGTCCTGGGCCTCCCCTAGGTTGACTCAGCCCTAGATAAGTACCTGGTGAGATGTGTAAACATCGCCACTAGGAAGACAAAAGTCGTTACAACTCTGTGTCTTCGTATGAAGACAGTCTTGTGTGGCTAACATCGGGGGGGGGGGTGGTGAATCTTTGTATCTGTTGCGTTCAGACCAACGGGAGCCTCTCCGAGAATAACAGCAGCGAGCCTCCATCTCCCAAGCAGCCCGGCGACTCTCCACCCTCCCCATACTCCCCTCCGGTGAGCCCCGCTCACACAGCCGCGTGGCCACAGGAGCTCTGTGGCTCTCTCGACTGCGAGCAGCTCCCGTTTGATAACACCGCGTACGCCGCGCTTGAACCCAGCGGCATTTGTTCTTGCTCCCGCCATCTAATGTGTGTCCGATACCTGCGCGTGTTTGTGTGTCCTATATTCTATATCATCATCATCATCATCGTAAATCATGGGGAATCCACCGTCTGGATGGAGGCATCTCCACCACCATCATCATCAATATTGTCAGCCACGATCAATCCACTGTTGGAGGAAGATATCTCCGTCATCACACGCCCCACCCCGCTCCCCCTCGTCTCCCCTGCTCGACCCCTCGCGCTACGAACCCCAACGTAGTCATGTGCTCTTTTCGGTTGTAGCCGCGACCTAAGGCTTTATTATTGCTACTACCACCGTGACTATTTTGGTCATGCCGTTAGCGAGCGCTCGTTAAATGAGCCCAGTGGGCCGTGGCCGCGGTGCGGCGGTGTTGCACGTCCCTAACGTGACCGCAATTACCGACTAACGAGGCATGGACACGCGGGGGGGGGGGGGGGCCCTCTTCCCGCGCTTCCGATCCTCATCTTTTCAGCCGCGACCTAATTGAGGCGCTGCCGGATGAGCGTTGCGACGATTACGAAACCCACGGTCCCGGGCACTCGGCCAGGCGACGGCGAATTTCCCGAGTTCGAATCCAGGTTTCGCGCGCTTATCGGATGCGCTTCTGCGGCCGTCTGGAACGCGCTGTTCCTTCCGCTATTATAAAGTCACTGGAGCGAATGCACTGTTAAAGCATCTGGATTGAAAACTCATTTCTTTAGAACTGCTTTCCGTGTTTAGTTTGTCCTTCACCCGCACCTCCGATTAGCACGGTTGGCTACGTACGGTGTGAAAGAAGTTCAACGGGCATACAGGTTTCAGATGACCGTGAATTAAAAGTAATAATAATTTTCTTGGCGAGACTGCGTTGGCAGTCGTGCTCGAGCGCGACGAACTATCGTCCGCTTTCGCACCGTGTTTGAACAAAAAGGCAACAGGGCTACATTTGTATTATTTTTTTTTAAATGTTGTGAGCCATTCCACGGCATCCAGGGTGTGGTGGCAGAGTGGAATTCGCTTGTTGCACCAGAGTACGCCGTGTTTGTATTGGGGCAGCCGAGTGGAGAAGTTCACTCGTCCCACCGGAACTCGCGTGGTTCTATCGGGGGGCGGTCATCGGTGATGTTACGGCCTGACGGGGTGCGCACCTCGCCCGTTTCGCAGTTGGCTGGAGTCCCCCGACCTCTTCGCAATCACGGAGGATGCGTCCACAATGTCCTCTTCCTCCACGCGTTGTTGTTGTTGTTGTTGCGGGCGCTGTCGAGAGCGGCCCACCACTGTCGTCGGGGCAGAGAGAAACCAACCATTGTGAGAAAAGAGCTGTGTAGCTCATCGGATTTCTCCAGTCTAAATCTAGATTCTGATTGTGACCATTGAAGAAAGGCCATTGCCCAAAACGTCACCCGTTATGGTTTTATTTCCCTGTAAGGCCTGCACAGCGTTATTGACGAATGTGTTGAGTGGCTTTTTTGTTGTTGATAAGTGTTGTGCAAGTTGTTGGTCTGGGCCCAGTGACTTGTGACCTCTCTATAACACACCAACCCTTTTGAGGCTACGGGGTTCCGTGTTGATTCTCACGCAAGTCGCGAGTACGTTCGTAATAAAAATGCGTTGGAGGCGTGACAAGATAAGTACACGTGCTTGAAAAACAAGCCTCCTTATCATGTCCAAGGCAAATGTTTAAAGTTAAACGTTCGTATTTTATGCGTCTCGAACGCACGTGAATAAGAAACAAAAATGTGTTGTTTTTCAAACGGTCATCAGCCATGATTTATCCACTGCTGGATGAGAGGCTTTCCAAAGCATCACCGTTTATCACGTTCTCACAATGCAACAATCCGTCGAGCTCCTGCACGTGAATGCATGTCACCGCTCCGTCTCCCTGGTTGACGTCCGCTTTGAGCATAATATCTCCTTGGGCTGCCTATTCGTCATCAGGCCTGACCACTTTCTAATAAGTGGAGTGTGTATGTATGCATTTTTTACCTTTTTCGCACCGTAAGTAGCCAACAAGGAGGTGCGCGGGGGAAGGACAACAAACTAAACACAAAAAGCAGTTCTAAAGAAATTAGTTATTCTAGATTTCAAAGTGCACTGCTCAAGTGGTTTCCTTCAAATGGGACACCCGAAATGTTTTGTTTTCTTTGTCATTCGATCCAGCTTATTCTCACTCTGAATACTAAATATTTAGTTGATGGTCATGTGACAAACCCCTATTGTCAGGTGACCATATACCGTATATAACAATGAATCCACGTGTTTCCAATGACAGGCCTGTTCAATCGACTTCAGAAGTAGTTCTGCAATGTCATCTTCTGCGGGCCGTTCCGTTCGGTGCCAATATTTCTTCTTCATCTCACATGGCTATGCCCGTGGCGCAATTAACCCAATCAGGAGATAATTTGGCAAACAAACTATAATACATAAAAACCGTGGCTCAATACAAAAGTAAAAAAAATGCTATTTTTACTGCCAGACTTGCACAGGGGGCACAGTGTGTACTCCTGCGCCTCTTGCAAAACAACAAAAGACAAATTCTGTTTGGAAACAACACAATTAATTGATAAGGTGCTTGTTTAAAGAACGATGCAGTGTGGCGTCTAATGTTTAATTAATCTGCGGAACTTTTCCCACGTCCCCCTGCGTGCCCGCCATTGAAAATAGGCCACATGACCGAGCCCGGTTGGGCCCGAGCCACGTCGCCGTGAGCCATCGTGTCCTCGTTGATACCCCCCCCCCACTCATGTCCCCTGCCCGGCACTGTCCACCTCCCGTCTTAGAATTCGCTAGCCGTGTGTGTGTGTGTGTAAGCGCGTGCGTTTGTACGCGACCGTATTTGTTGCGAGCGGTAGTGCAGCGGTTAGCGCGTCAACCTTAGCTCGCTACACACACGGAGAATCCAGTTAAATCATGAGCAGCTGAAACCCGGATTTGAACCCGTGATCTCATCACCGCCTGCTCCCTGTCTCTGGCAAAAGCCATTACGAGCCCCCGAAGCCGCCACCCGGCAGCCGTTAGAAACATCTCAACGAGAGCGCGCGTTTTGTTTTGGCTGCGTTTCATCCACTGCATCTGCAAGTTGTGTGACTCGCCGCCGTGTAGTTTAAAAAACAAACTTGACGGTGGTGAAGCGAGGCCACACCTCCCCCCCCTGTCGGGTTGAAGACCGGTTTCTCATAACCACGGTGGTGTCGGCAACGTCGGCCGGCCCGGTTCGTCTGAGGCGGCCGGCCCCAGCAAGAGAGGCCTTGAGCACGCTTTTGGGGACCGTTTTGCATGGACGCTGCCACAGTTTGTTGACCCCCCCCCAACCCCCACCGCACCTACGATTAACGCAGTTGGCTACTTACAGTGCGAGAGAAGTTCAACACCGTACGTACATCCGTACACAGAGGTGTAATGGTGAGGATGCTTGCTGCGCGTGGCAGTTGAAGCAACGGTGCGAGTTTCTGGTCCACCCAGCGGTATGAATGGGCGCACCGCTGACAGACGATTGGTAGTTCGCGTGGTGAGATAAAGTGTGGGCACTCGCTCGCTCTTCCAAGAAGTCTTGCTGGCGTGGCTGGGCAGGCCGCGATGCCCTCCAGAGGTGGTGACCTCCGGTTGAGGCTCTTCCGCCAGCAGTGGCGTGAGCGAGCAATTTCAGGGCTGCACCGTCACCTCTGGGGCAGAGTAAACGTGGTGGGAATTGTGTCCCGGCCAAGGCCTCCGTACGCTTTGAAGGGGTCGTGGAAAAATCACAGTTTTGGTCCACGCCCATTGTGTGTTTATTATTCGGTGTAAAATTAAATATATTTTCTAGTCCATCTTACCTATTGGCTTCCCACATAAATATTACCCAGCAGCAGAATATAACATCACGGCATGGTGGCCCGATGTTATCTTCCTTGCCTGGTATGCAGGAGGTCGTGGGTTCGATCCTGACCCTGACGCTTGCTGTATATTTGGAGTTTGCAGTGTCTCTCTTTTCCCCGTGGTCGCGTGGATTTTTCTCCGGGTCCCCCGGTTTTTCCCTCCACATTTAGAATCACGTGTTTAGAGTATTTGGCTGCTACAAATTTCCACGTGATAAGCCACTTTCGTTGAGCAATCATTTGTGGCCAGGTCGCTTCTGAAAAAGAGCTACATAGCTAGCTCGGTGCGCCTTACCTGGTAAAATAAAAAAAATAAAAAAGTTTCTTTAATAGTTTATAGTTCTTTGCAAGGAAACACGGGACTGGTTTTGACCGTGTGGGTCTCATCAGCAGAGTTGGTGCTTGTTAAGCAAATGCTACTCTGTTGGCAGATGTAACTGGCAAGAGCTGTCTGTCTAAACTATGGCGCCATGTCCATTAATACAAAAGGAAAAGCAATATTGCAGACGATGGGCGGATTTGCACCGCACCTCGTGCCACCGCCGTTTGCTACTGATTAAACGTAAAGTCTGTTAACTCAATCCTTTTCCACGTCGGCACATTCACCCATTAACGAACGTCCAACCTTTGAAGCCGATCAGCTGAACAAAGCACATTTTAACCCAAGACGTGTTCTCTCTGCTATTAACAATACGACAGACTTTGTCTCTCTCTCTTTGTCGTGAGCAGAATGAGGAAATCAGCAAAGAAACATCACTTATCAACCCGCTTGCACGTGCCTAACCACGTCGGCACTCCGCCACTCACATTTGGCGCAAGGACTTGACAAAGTTTGGCAGAATGTAGTGGGGGGAGGGGGGGGGTTTAGGCTACGGTTGGCTGCGTACGGTGTGCGAAGGAAGCTCAAGGTACGTACGCACGCGCGTACATTATAGGCGCCACGCTGCAGTAGTAGGGGCACCTTTCCGCCGAGCGGGAGTCGCGAAGGCGCTCTGCGTGCCGCCGTGTGCCCTGCTTGCGGTCTAACGCACGGCTCACCGCGCCGCTCTTCCCGTGCAGGCGAGCGACGGGGATGCCAAGCGGGACCCGTTTGCCGAGGTCGGCCTCGACCTGCGCCTCAGCGTGGCGGACGCCAAGGAGAAGTTCGTGCGGAAGCGCGGCGGCCGGCGCGCGCCCCCCATGGACTGGAGCAAGAAGAAGGAGCTGTTCAGCAGCTTCTGAAGTTCGCACGTTGTGCACTCACCGCCCCCTACCCCCCCCCCACCACCCAACCCACCCCCAAATGCTCACAGCACGCACGGCCATCCACTGCAGCCGCATAGCCTCGGCCTCCAGAGCGAAACCTCCCAGCAACCCACCGCCCCACAGGCTCCACCGGTCTCCCTCGCAGTGCCCGGCCACCGAGCTTCTCAGCCCCCTCACTCCTCATGTCCCAACCCTCCCAGCCAACTTCCCAAATTCCAACCTCCCCCCTACCCCCCCCCTCCCCCCAATATCCCCAAGCCCCTCCTTGCCTCTTAGCCTCCATACCAAATTCCCAGAGATCATTTACCCTCTTAATATCCCTGCCTTCCAACCTCCCATTTTGCCTTTCCCAGCCTCCCAACCTCGCCTTTTGATCTCCCAGTCTCCCATCCACCCAGTCTCCCGTTCTCTCAGCCTTTCCCTTTTTGCCCATTGGTGCCTCCCCCCCACCCCCCCCCCCCCCTCAATGGCAGCTCGTGGCCTTGGTTTTAAGCAGGTGACAAACTCCATCGGAAGTTTTCCTTTTATTTCTTTCTTTATTGATTTCAGAGCCATGCTCTCGGCTTCTTGTCGCGAAGTAACGGCCGTCCTCATTTGGACCCTCGGCGCAAACGTTGTCATTCGCTGAACTTCTGTGGCAGACAAAATAACGTTGCCGTATCTTAGAAACTCCTCGGGGATCGTCCTGATACCACCGAGACCACATTTGTCAGACAGAGATCCCCTATACAGCCGGCAAATAATATTTGGGCCAGTGCTGTCAGCGAGTGCTCGTTGTGGCCAGCACGGCGCACGGGCGGGTGGGTGGCCACCACCACGCTCGGCCGACTTTTGTCATCCCTGTGCCGAAGGCTGCATATCGTACCAGGTGCCAATTTAAGGCTGACGACCTCGTGGGAGGGCCAGAATCTTTGTCTTTGAAACTTCAGATACCCAAACGCCTGCATGCCTCGCCTGGAACTGTCACTTCGCGTTGGCGTTTGATTGCCGGCCAAACCAGAACCACAAAGCTGCTGTTGCCACTTCCCCAACAACACCCAAGACGATTCCGGAGTGAACACACGAACATCGTCAAAATCAGTGTATGCGTTAACCTGCCATAGTCTGCCCCGACTCACCTCCCTCTTGTCTCTAGTCAGAGAAAAAAACACAACATACATGTGTATGATATTAAACACGTATGGTGATTATATAGAGCGGCAAATACACTTTTACCATGATTTCTTCTCCCACACACACACACACCTACCGCCCCCCACTCCCCCACGCTACTCCCACAATGCACTTGGCTCACATGGCACACGGTCAGTTTGTGGTAATTGACTGGACAGTTGTGTGGATTGATAGGATATTGTATTTTATTTTATTATTATTTTTAGTTTCCTTTTTTGTTATCGAATAGAGGAACATTTGGATGTAACTCGCAGATTTGTAAGCGGTCGCCCAGGTTAAAAGTCACGAACTATGACCTACGAAAATCACGGAGTCAGCTTCTTCGGTTCATCTGAATGAATTTTACCACGATTACGGAAGCGTAGATTTTGTTGTTGTTGTTGTCGTCGTCGATTGCGAGTTGATCATTTATTACAACCAATCCGATTTATATTTGTCGATGAGCAAAGGAAATGACGTGTCGGGAATTTGCAAGTTTGCTTCCACGGAATGTTAATTAATCGATTAGCGGTCGCATTTTGTACTAAATTTTCACGATTCCTTGCGACGGTCTCGGCTTTCTAGCGTGTAGCAGTTTTTCCCGTCGGCCTTAAAACTGGAAGCTCAGTGTTAAAAGAGATTGTTGTTAATCATTTTACTTTAGGTAGGGTGGGGGGGGTGAAAATTTGCGACGAATACACTCAATTTAACCCGTTTTCTCGAACTAACACGCTCAACGAAACTAATTTAAATAAGCAACGTCGACAAATAAGCATGCTCGAGATTTAGTTTATTTTTGTAGCGCACGATGGTGAACTTCCTTTCCCCACGATTTCGCCGGCGCGTTCACATGATGGCAACTTGTCCCCCGACCCCAACTCGCTCGAAGCGGCATTAATATTCACCCTGAATCGTGGCTGACGTTTTCATTGCCAGTATTTCAGTTTCGACCGTCGAGGCTTTGCTTTGTATGATTTTGTGACGCATAAGTCCAGGTGGGAAGAAAAAATATTTTGGCATAAAAAAAATACCCCAGTTTTGACTTTTCACTCTGTGCATGCAATCTTCTAATGAGGGTTAAAATAAAGTAAAAAAAAAATGCACGAAAAAATCTTACAAAAAAACTGTCCAATTTCTACTTGAGTTTTCACGAGTTTGAGAAAGTCGACGACTCACCTCTCTGGGACTCTTGTCCATTGCCCTTTATCCAGTGGAGGAAATTCCACATTTCTCTGACAGGGGTGGGGGTGGGGTGGTAAGTGTATCCACAGAACAGCCGTGATAGTCATTTTTATCCTTCTCCGAGCGAGTAGAGATAATGATGACGACGATGTGATGAGCCGCTCCCTCACCGAAGACTTGGAACGTGTGCGACCTTCCCGATTGGCGATCGAGTGCCCAGGCTGGATAATAACGAATAAGTGTCTCGTGCATCGTGCACACGCTCGGCACTCTCAGGGTGTCGCCGCCTTGATGGTTACAGGTGGCCTTAACTCCATGGAAAAGGACAATCTCGATTAAACTTGTAAACATATGCTTGTTTATACGGCACGCCTGTCTCTCCTGTGGACTATACTTACTCTAATATATTTTTGTACGATTGTTTGAAAGCCACTCGAAGTGTTTTAATGCGAGGAGACCCATTTTATATGGAGGCACTTTGAGCATTGCCCTGTGCTCGTAGGCGATTTGCGCTAATGATGCACCAATTCATCTATTGGTATTCAGTTCACGATGCATATACGCATCGAAGCGCACCTGTAAGAATGTTTTTTTTTCGATTCCGATGTTTTTTTGTAATGAATTCACGTGACCCCCCCCCCCCTCCAGCCACTAGAGGCTGCTACACTCGCCAAACTGGCAAAACAACAATTTAATCTTGAATCGAGTCGCTAACTCTACACACGGCCATTCATTACGATCGCCGTGCGGATCGGGTCTCGAGTCCTTCTATCACTCAACAGGCAACTAACTCCAGAATCGGAATCGATGTGTATTTATACAGCAGGAGGAATCCGATGAGCTATGAAGCTCTTTTTCACAGATGTCAAGTAGGGGCACGTGGTCAGAACGTTACCACAACACACAGTGCAAAATCACGTTAGGAGTACAAAGTTTAGGAAAGGTAAGCAAATCACTCAAAAAATAAAATAAACTTTTTATTTAACCAATTAAAGCCCAATAAGCTATTATCTTGTTTTTCAGAAGCGACCGGGCCACAAATGATCGCTCACCGAAGTGGCTTATCATTACGTGGAAATGTATGGCGGCAGCAGCAGACAAATACCCTAAACAATCTAAACGCATGTTTCTAAACTCCACTCTGGGCTCTCGAGCCACAAGTTGCACCTCACCAGTGTTGAGCTCACAGGTCGTAATCCGGGCAGCGGGGGTTGTAGTTGTTTAAAGTTGGGCAGCCCACAAGTCGCGGATTGGCCAATGTGGCTTCTGCGATTCCAACGTAAACTCTGCTTACGATAGATCATTGTCTAACTTCATGGCCACAACGACCGCGGTCGCCTTCCCTTACGAACTGTTGGGACAAACCTCATCGCGGTGGCGGGAGCGTTCCATTTCCATACCCCGGAGAAGAGGTGATGATGTTGAAGCATCATTAGCCAGGATTTTAACGTGATGTTCTCATGCCCGGGGGAGTTCTTAGCCCTACCGATGGCTCTTCCAATTAATTGTACGTGGTAATATGTAAATAAGCACACATACATGCACGTACGGTACTAAAACAAAATCGTACGTTCATGGTTTATCTGCATAATCAACGCGCCACTATTTTTTGCAGTGTTTAAACGTCCGCACGATGCAGTGTCCCATAATTTACCCGGAGTGTTGAAGGGATTGCGAAATATGTCATCTGGAAATATTTCATCTTAATTTAAAGTGAATGAATGTATGCTGCGCCGTCAATCGGCACACTGCAGTCGGTGGTCGAAGGCCGTGCGCGAAATGATTTCGTGAGATCACCACGTATGTCGGGCTGAAACCATGACAATTTAATTGCCCTTTCATGTGTTAATCATTGGTCGAAAAGCAAAGGTCAGGGCCTTGAAATATCCACACGAGTTATTGGTACGGAGCTCAAATGCGGATTTGTCCAATAATTTATATTTTATTAACTATAATGCCAACTTGATGGGTTCCTAATTCAAGGTCAGAGAAATTACTCCATTTATCTGAACATCAGTCACCGCGTCCGAAATGTATTCATTGGGGGAATATAATCTCGCGGCGGTATAATTGCGGCCCGTCCAAATCTGTTTTCCCAAATCGTTTTTAACTCGCGTAAAGCGGCGCTCACTGTTGCGTAACGACAAACAAAATCGGAAGCCTCGAGTGGCGTGCGGAGAGAATTTTAAGACGAGGAAATGATGCCAAATTGTAACTCGTTGCATCGGCTACCGAAAACTATTCGGCGTGCTTCGTGAAGCTTCAATAATCCCCTTCAATGAAAACACGTGCCCATCCGCGACGTGACCACGTGCTGCGCTCGCTTGTGCCGTCTTGCGATTTGGGCGGCACCCCCGATGACATCCGCGGCACCGATCGTCGGCAAGGGTGCTGGCCGTGTTGACATCTGACCTTGGCTATGAGTTTCCTTCAATACTGCGCGACAAGGCGTGCGTCACAACGCCAATGGTTTGATGACATTTCTTTTAACGAAAATTGTACCCCACTCCAGGTGGTCCGCTTGTAACGACTAATCGCAAGACGGTAAGACGGACTGAAAATGACTCCTTAAAAAAAAATAAGGCAGGGGACCGCGCCTGTAAATTCACGGCGCGACGTAGGGGACCGGTCAAGCCTCTGGTTGTGGGTGACCGTCTCCAGTGCTAATCAGGGCAGCCACGAACGTACGTTAGCAAATGAAAGGTGCGCGTGATAACACTGGGGTCACCGTGGCCGTAACAAGCAAACACAAAGGTGGGTTTCCCCGGCTCAGGGTGTTGGCCACCCAGAGCCAGTGATGGCAAATTCCACATTCCCATGGCGGGGAGCAGCATGTCTACAGGGAAACCGATGTCGTTTGCCCGCAAGGCGGTGCACGGGATGTTAGTAGGCCGGGGTTTGAGGCTCGCCGATGAATGTCCTGAAGGGTTCCACATCGGTTGACAACCTGACCGTATGGGATAGGCAATGGAACGTTAACACTCGGTAGTTGGATTGTTGTCGTGGCTCTAATTGGTTTGTGCACGTGCAAGCATGTGGTGCTGTGGGCGCTTTGAGTTGTGAGAGCGTGGGGGGGGGGGCAGACACGGGTAGGGTGGGCAGAGGAGATGATCGTCGAGGAGAATCGTGTGGTCGTCCCAATAATAAACGAAGCCCACGCCACGGGAATGTGGAATTTCCGCCACAGGAGGGGGGTGGCGGGGGGGGGACTTGTTTGGGCACATTAAGGACATTTTCACTGATTTGAAAAGAGGGAAGTTGAGGTGGTTTAATTTCCAGCCAAGTGGTTTTCTAAATATTTGCCGTTGCTAACGAGAGTGTGCACTTTCGCGTCCGATCTTCTGCGTTTCGAGCATTGGCTTAGCCCATCGTGATCGTCACCCCAGGTTGATAGAATGGGTTCTCACTTTGTGATCATTCAATTGTTGGGTTCGTTCTGTGGTGAGACTGGCCCTCGTCGCGGGAGATGGGACATCCCTGCCACGTGCCGCAGGGCTGCGAACTCTGACTGGCCGGGTCACGTGGTGAACGTTTCGGAGTCGACTGCTGTCTGTCAAGGTGGTGCCACCCGCACCCAGGTTGTAATGCGGTGCTCGGGCAGCTTTAACAGCTGCTCCCTAACAACGCTCCCTAACGACGATCTGCTTGAAAGAGCGTGCCTGTAGCAGAGGCGGCAACGTAGATCGTGTGTGTGCAAAGATTGAGTGTTCTAAAGCGAGCAAATCGTCACTTCTGACATAATGTACTACATTCTTGCAAGGCCTGAGGATGACATTTTCCCATCCATTTGACCGGTCTTTAATTCCCCCCCCCCCACCCTCAACATATATTCTCATCAATAAACCACTGGATAAATGTATTTCCCGCACCTCCGATGAGCACGGTTGGGGCTACGTACGGTGCGAAAGAAGTTCAAAATATACACATTACACCCCGCCTCTCTGCCAACTAGCCCCCGTTGTATTATCATCAACCAGCAAAGTAAATTCATCTTAAGTTATTGGACGTTCGTCAGGATTCGTGGTGTTGTTGAGTGGGGGGGAAATACTTTACCTTGTGCTGGAAATCGTTCGGATGAATACCGCTAACAGCTGACTAGACTTTTAAGTGTTTCTTCAACATGGTATGTGTATATGACAAAGCATCATAATGATTATTATTGACTATCCCTTTTGTTAAAAAAAGCGTAAGAAAAAAAAGAATGAACGATGTAGCGAAGAGTGTATATTTGTGATTGTAAGAGTAGATTGTTTTTTTCTTTCTCTTGAGTGGTAATCTTCACTTTAAGTGCTGTTTTTCTTACGTTGCTATCAATTGTATGATTTCCCCTCTTAGCGCATGCTTTTAGCGTTGGCATCCGAGACGCTACCGTTCATCGTTTTGATCGCCACTGAAAACGGTAGCCTTGTAAAGCTTCCTCGTGCTCCTATTCAATTTATGTACAAATTAAAAAAAATACACACACAAAATAAACCACTTAATAAATTTTAACAATGCATACAAGATGAGAACGCATATGTGGGTTTTGTGTCTTGCGTGTGTCTGCGAAACGAGTGGCCCGTGTTCGACGTTTTCCACCCACGGCCAGCAGCGGTGGCGAATATCCAAAACCGCGCTGCAGAGTTCGCCCCTAGGTCGACTCAGCCTTAAACGAGTACCCGTCTGCAGTATTGAGACATCGACGCTGGGAAGATAAAAGCTGCCGGGCGTGGTGCTGGCCACAACAACCAGAATCCGAATATTTATACTGGAGGAATCCGATGAGCTATAAAGTTCTTTTTCACAGGTGTCCAGTCGGGGCGGGTAAGAACGTTACAACAACAAACAGTACAAAAACACGATAGGAGTGCAAAGTGCAAGAGAGGTAAACAAATCACACAAACAAATACAACACTGAACCATCCCAATCCTACCAGGCAAAGCCCACTAAGGCATTAACTTACTAGAAGCGACCTGGCCACAAATGACAGCTCAGCGAAGTGGTCCCATCATTTGGACATTTATAGCACCAACATAATCTAAATAATCTCAATGCATGGTTCTAAACACCTGCCCCATTCCACAGCCTGCCGTCGGCTATACGGGAGGAGACTTGTGTATCCGTGTTGAGTCACTCGAGGGGAGTGGTGGTGCAGTGGTTAGCGCACTATGCTACGAACCCAGCGAGCCGAGTTCGATTCCCGCTCACGGCCAACACCGGCGACGATTACCTGAACCGGTCCTGGGCCTCTCCCCGAGGTCGACTCAGCCTCAAAGGAGTAGCTGGTAAGGTATGTAAACAACGCCACTGGGGAGACGAAGGTGGCCGGGCATGATTGCTGGCCACCCACCCAACCCTCCGCGTGCAACTCGCGAACGGCACTTGCCCCAACAGTCCCTTCAGCATATACGGGGGATCTTTGTCTTTGTTTGGTGTAGCTCATCAGTGGCTGTTGCTGTGATAATACAAATCGAGTCACTGTATTGCCTTGCGGGAGTTTCTTTGCGCAGAGATGAGAATATTCTTTGCACGCCGGGGCCTTGTGTTGGCATCTTTGAGCCAACGCTTCGGAAGCATGGGGAGTGATGAATAACATTTACGGAACTCCCACACACCCGCTGGCAGTACCAGTGCCGGATTACACTGTGTAACATTTTTTTAAATTGTCTTTGTTACTGGGTTGTAGGTGTTATTTCATAATTGCTTATGCCTCAAAAGTACAGAAAATGGCTATTATTCCCCACAAACTTTGCTTTTGTAACCAGGACAGTGATATTTTGAAATTTACCTATTTTCCAGAACATTCCAGATAGATTCAGTGCTGACTAAACTTGGAGTAACTTCTATAACATTCTAGAACTTTCCAGTAATATAAATAGTAGTATAAATACAGGGGCCTTAAGCCCACCAGTTCAGTTTAGTTCCAGCTGCCTAAGTGGATACATATCTGCATTTTTCTGAGATGGCAACAAGAGGCTGAAAGCACCTGGCAGACACATTTTGCTCTGTCTGCGGCTAATTTATCAAGACAAGAGCGAAAAAGTACTCTGTGGAAGCATCTGCTAAGATGTGTGAGGCCTACAACAAGGCACATTTCGGCATGCCTGTTGGGGATCAAGACAAACTTAGGGCACCTCATTTCACCTGCGAGCAATGCGAAAAAAACTCTGGAAGGTAAGATGGACAATTGTTGCCCGGAATTTTATGGTTTAAAATTTGTAAAAATTGTGAAAGTTTTTAGTTTTAAAATGTTGAACAATTTTCAATGTTATAGAAAAATATATTTTATATGAAAAATGTTGCGAGAATCTCTTACACATTAGTCATGGATGAAATGAATGTATTTTTGTAGGATAGCAAAAGTAGCTACATATGTTACGGGCCCCGCATTTTCAAGGGCCCCTGCGCGCTAAACGCTTTCAAGCAATCAAATCCGGTTCAGTGATTCTGCACTTGCTCTATTACTATAGTACTATACTTCCTTTAACTTTTTTTTTTATGAACGACGACTGGGTGTTTAAGGTTAGCGATTTGTCATATTATATGCCTGTATAGCAAATGAAAAAATACAACTACTTTACTGTGCAAGTAAAAAAATTAGTATTTTTATATTAACGTGTTTTTTTTATTATTATTTAGGGCCCCTTTATAACATCACATGCTACAGGCCCCGCACTAGCTTAAGCCGGCCCTGGGCAGTACAGCAAGTTGAATGTAATTCCTTCTGTGTGCGGAGCTTCGAGCGTTATCCCTCGATGTGCGTGGCCTCTCTGTGGGCAGTCGGGGCTTTTCCTACAAAATGCCACTCAATTATAGCTCTCTTCTCTCTCTCTCTCGGCCAAACATCTCCCAATGCAGAATGTTCCTGGAAAATAATCTTGATATTGTTGAGCCGGAGGGGTTTTCCCTGACCGATTATCTCCCAGCATTGGCGTGTTCACTGAGAGGGCCCCGGGGCACGATTGCCTCCTGCGCGATCCCACCCACCAGTAAATGACGAGGTTTGTGTACTTAAAAAAAAAGGACCGTGCCTGGAAAACGTCATCTATTTCTATATATTTAATGCCAGTGTTAGGGACGAGTGTGCGGAGAGTTGTATATTTGTCTCTTGAGTCGCAGAGGTAGACTCGCTCCCGCTGGCCGAAATGCGAACTTCGCCGAGAATGATCAACTCGGGTCCCGGTATCTCCGAGTTTCACGGTTGGCTATGTACGGCGCGAAAGAAGTTCAGCATACGTACATGGTCTGTGGGTCACAGAACCGACCCCGTGGCACCACTCGCGCACTCTATAACCATGCACTCCACCACTCCCCACCACCCCCTCCATACACGGCGACAGGAATCTCCACAGTTGTCACCCCAGACGGTTTACCCCATATTCCTGTACAAAGAAATTGAGTTTTCAGGTCCATACGGCGTACATCAGTTTCATTACGGGGAAAAAAAGTGTCTTTTTGGTTGTGTTTCTCCCTTGTGATGGGACTTTGTAGGATGAACGTTGAGATTTATAAAGGCACGGGGTGACCAATAAGGTCTGAATTGATCTGTAATTAGGTAGGGCACTAAAAAAATCACTTATTTCCCTAGCTCACCCAATAACCCTCTAATCTCCACCTCATATCCGCCATCTTTTGTTTTCGCTCTTCATATTCTCATTATATGGCTCTCACTCTTTCCCCATTCATTAAATAGTCATCATCACTCGCTGTGATTATCACAGATGTGCCCATTGCTTCCTCTCATCTATTTCATTAACCTCATCTCCACCACTACATTCATATGTAACATTGTTAATTCTGTGTAAAGCGCCTTGGATAAGGCGCTATAAAACATATTTCAAGATAAGATGATGCATGCATATCTGAAGCCTATCCCATCGTCCATACGCAGCAGAGTAGAATCGTGGCACGTCACACACACACACACCGGTGCACGCGTGCATGTTCAGCCCTTTGTGAATCCACAGCCGGATAAAATATCTTTCCCCCCTCCCCCCCCCCCCCCTGTCATGGAGGTGGGGGAGGGTTTTACCATACTTCACCACGCCGGTCAGTGGTGGTTAATGAAGCGGGGAGAAACGAGCCTTTAGTCAACACGCAACGTGGGAATGTGGTTGGAACCATTGAACCAACATTGGCCCAACTTACCGATAAACACGCAAGATGTTGGCCGGACGTCAACCGACGTTGCCCCAACGTTTGCACAGGTTTCCATGTTCACTCGGAGGGGCCATACGTTCCAGATAGATCTACCGCTCGGCCACTGAAATTCGCCATGGCCAGGGATCAAACTTGCAGAGGCCATAATGCAGCCATCGATCTCTACTTTATTCCTAAAGTATAAATGCGTCGTCAGCCTCCACCATCCGACACAGCCAGTAAGGGATTTGTCACGTAAACAAAACGTGCCGATTAGTTACTTCAGCCCACCGGTGTGTTGGAGAGTAAATCCACAACATTTACAAATTGAGTAGTACGACGTTTCGCTGGTAATCACATCCAGCAACATCGGGTGATTTATCAGAATAGTCTTTAATAATATTGGTCGCGAATGTCCACGTGTTAAACCGATCTTTATTTTGTTTAACCACGTTTCATTGCCGCAAAGGGGGGGGGGGGGGGTGCATAGTTTATTGATCCCTCAGATGACGACGATGATGATGGTGGTGGTGGTAATGATCGTGGTTCCGATTCAATCTGCCACCACGAGTTTAACCCCGCGGGCCCCCTGAATGTGGATTGTGCGCTTCGACCACGGCGCCGTGACTTTAAACCCTTTCGTGGCGCCCTCATTCACAGCCTGGGCGGTTCATTTATGGCCCTCTCCAAGTTGTCACTTCCTACCAATTGGGGGGGGGGGGTGTAAGGGGGATGATCGGTGCAATTAGTTCAAACGTGAGAACAAAGAATGTGTGTGTGGTGTCTATGTGTGACCTTTAAAGTTTCGTTAATTTTTTACCCAACCCCAGGTTTAAAGCGGCCAATCCTCTCGGTCCCAACGCTGCTGCTGCTGCCCCTCCTCTCACCCTGGCTGTCATCTACGTCTCTTCCCCACCCGATCAGGACCTCTGCTGCCATCGCGTGGAACGTTACGGGGGGGGGGGGGGGGTGAGCTGTGGAGGCGCCTCGCCCATAAGCAACCCGAGAAAGGGCGCAGGGCCCCCAAAGGAGCTCAGTGGAAATTCGTAACAAATTTGGAATGGATACAAATAGTGGCTCAGGATATAATCATCAGCTCCATACATCTCTGCCTCTTGTCAGTACAGTATCTCGTCTGTCATCTTACTAGGATTGTATGAATTAAAAAGGGGGCTACTCCAAAATTACATCTGTGAAAGCGCTTTATAGCTCATCGGATTCCTCCAGTATAAATACATATTCGGATTCCTGTGCATGGTCCCCAATGGGCTAGCAACCATAGCTGCGGGACCCCATTACCCGTCACCAATAGCATCATCATCACGAGCACCATCGTCACAGCCATGCTCGATCCACTGCTGGGTGAAGGCCTCACCAAAGCCATCGCCACGTCTCCCTGTCTTGCGACGCAACAATCCACGTGGCTTCTGCGTACGAGTCGATTTAATCGCTCCATCTCCGCGGTGGATGTGCAAAATGGAACACATCAGCGACGATACAACAGAGCTGCGACAAACCTAGATTGGTAGGGTTGCTTTAGATACCCGCAATGCCCAGCTTGGTGAAGTATGCTGAAACAATAACCATTATGACACAGCATGGGAAGGTCCTTCGTAAATCAGTTGATTGACAAAAAGGCGCTGTTAATTATTATGTATGTTATTTGATGTCAGTGCCAATGCCTACTCAGGCTCACAGAGTGCTGAGCGATGCTCATCTGTCGCCAGTGGGAATTGAGTTCCATTGGCTCTTTAGAGATGCGTGTGTGCCAGTGTACACAGGCAGAGCTATCCATGAGCAAACTAAGCAAAATCTTAGATCAGCGTTCTTCATTGCAAGGCCCTGCGAGCTACTGGCGGCCCCTGATGGCCTTTAGTGTGGCCACGGACAATACACAAATAGTGAAAACACCACCCCACCACCATCATCATCATCGTCGTGTTGCCGTCAAACCCAACAATGGTTTCAAATGGTGTGGCGGAAACCCACTCACGCTGATGATGTCCTATCGGCGAAAGTACCCCCCCGCCTGCCCCCTCCCCTCTGAAAATCGGTGAACACTTGTCTTAGATACCCAAGCAGCTCGATGACGCCTGGATGTATTAACACGAGAGATGAATTTAAAGCAACAAGCTCAATCAAAATGCAAATAAAGTCAAACAAGCTAATTACGGTAACATAAACCACCGAACTCATTTACATCTCTTTAGTCACGACATCTTTACTCTTTCTTGATTTGAAGCTTTCGTGACTGCAGGGATCCATACTCTTTGGTTCTTTCGGTAAAGTCACGTAGGTAGAAGTAAAATAAATCACGACGTTTCGATCTCAACACAAGCGACCGTCATCAAGCGGAACCTTACAGCAGGACAAGTGCTGATTTATTTTACTTCTACCTACGTGACTTTACCGAAAGAACCAAAGAGTATCTCTACTCTTTGCCTACGTTTCTCCCATCTCAGTAAAAATCACACTCTCTTGTCTCTGTCTCTCTCGTCTCACGAGGGCTACGTAAACTGAGAGGCGAACCAGCCAAACACAAATTCTGCTTCGGGTCCCCCAATAGGCGAACACCACGACTCCGTGTGTACACGTGTGTGAGCACACAGACCATGTAGCCAGTGAATTAACAAATGGCTTCACACGCACATCACATAGCCATTGCATGCCAGGGAAGCCTCCAAGAAGTCTCGGGACCCTTTTCATGTCCTGCTCGGGACGATTGCTGCCACGGGGTAATGATTAGCACACCAAGGTCACCGGTTCGATCACAAGGCACAGGCAGTTCAAACATTGGGCACATTTCAAAACCATGGCTCCTCCCAGCTAGAAAACATTGGTTCGCCAAAGCTATTTAAAAACGAATAACTTTTATTTCACCAGGTAAGGCCCACTGCGCAAAACAGTTATTTTTCAGAAGCGACCTGGCTATCACAAATGATAGCCCAACGCAGTGGTTTGTCGTGTGGAAATGTATAGCAGCCACATACTCTTAAAGCAGTGGTTCTTGACCTCGGTTGCACGCACGCCCTGTGGGTGCGAGATGCCCTTTCTGAGAACCAGAGGGGTGAGGCTTAAGTAAAGGTGAAGGAGCACCGCTCTAAACGCTCGATTCTAAATGTGGACGGTAAAACCGGAGGACCCGGAGAGAGAAAAAAATCCACGTGACGGCGAGCTCGTCGATTGGCCGGGCTTGTGCAGTGGGGGGGGGGGGAGCGGTTAGGTAACGTCGCCTCGAACCAAGGCGTCTGGCCACAGTGAAAAAGTTGGCCAAAATTCCCTTCATGGGGAAAGCTTACTTAGCTCTCCCTCTCTCTCGTGAAGGCCCTTCCACTGGCAATGGTGCCAGCAAGCAAATTACATCGCTGCTCCTTTACAGACTTGGGATCTTCGGACAAATAAATTCCTTCTTAAAGTTTTTTTTTTTACAGAGGGTGGGTGGGGGGGGGTAAAGAAACCAAGGCGACTGGCGGAACCCCCCCACCCCACACACACACACGGGAATAAACCAAAAGACACTTGACACGGGTGGCGGATTGTCTTGTTACACGTGGATTTACTACTTTTCAAAGTCGTTTTCACCTCATTCAGTGAGCCAGCGTAGCGGCGGCCGCAGACATGCAGAAGCGCATACTGTGGTGGTGTCCTCACAATCCTCTGAATATATAAGAAAGCGTCTGAAAAATATATATTTAAAATAAATAACGCACATGCAAATAATTCACCCGTACAACTGCTGTAACACTCGTCCGTCTGGCCTTCCCCGACTTGTCGACTTGCATTTGGCTCAGTCTCTTTCATCGCCAAATCAATTTAAGTTAAATAATGAATCGTCGTCTCCATATATCCACGTAAAAAAATATATATTTTAGTCCATCAACTTTTTGGGCCTTCCAGGAGTCCCTTCAAAGAAGGCTTGCCGAAAGGCTCAAGAGGCCGGTGGAATAAACGATGTTTGATATTTTTTTGACGTGGAGATGCAGAACGGGCGCTTGGACAAGGTTTGAACCCCGATCGTCGCTCATCGGCTCTCGTCGAGCGTGAACACGAGGTAACCTCGATTTGTGTGGCCCCTCCAACGGAGCATCTTGGCGACGTCCAACGCACCGATTCGGGAGCCTTCCGGGTTGCGTGTCGCACTGAGAGCGAGCGCCGAGAAGACAGCAGCGAGGGGCTTTATTTAAAAAAATGTACATCATAAATTACGGTAACACTTTTGTGCAAAACAAAAACAAACCGCAGCAGCATTTCTAGAGTGGCGGACGCAAGACTCCCGAGTAGGACTGGGCGATAACCCGCAGTAGTGAATTCAGCATTCCCCCCCCCGCCTTCACACCATTGTGCCGATATGCGACTGCTGTTGATGCGCCGGTCTCCTCGTACGTTTATGCAGAGAATTGCGTGCTGTGGTCAAAGAACCCGACCCTCACCGGGAAGGTCACATGAGTTCAAATCCCGATTGGTGGCTCAACGCAGCCCGCCCCGCTGGTAACCTTTTGTGGCCGAAGACGCGATGTCGCAAGCCAACAGCGATCATTCTATTTTAAAGCATCCACCCCCTCCTGCTCCGCCCCAGTTATTGGCATTTCCACCACGAGCTCAGAGGCTACAATAAGATGAGTGGCAACCAGTGATCATTTGACCGTGGAGAAGATCTGACTTTTGACTTGCCGCTCCAGGCAATACTCTGGTACCTGGATGATATCAAGAGGTAATGCTCTGGCATTGGGGTAAATCGATGAACCGTGTATTAATAGGTGGTAATGAGGCAACAGCTATGATACGGAGCAGGACCGTGTGGCTTTATGACGCAACACTACTGCCTAGACACCTGGCTTACTTCAACACATAAACGGGGGGGGGGGGCGCAAGTGCCAGTCCTACTGTGTTCACCGTAAGATCAAAACAGCGCAAATATATCGACCGCAAACCCGTAACTACATCTGCTAGTCTCTTTACGGCTCGAGTAAAGCCCAGTAAATCCAAAGGGCAGCTGTAAAGGACTTTATGGCGTGTCGAAAGCATTTGGCAGAAACTCAACTTGGATTTTAAAAAATAACTGGGCCCCTAGCCAGAGGAATATTATCCAGAACAAGGCAGGGCCTTAAAACCTAACATGGGACAGGAGCCCGTGGGTAAAGAGTTGGCCTGCCTGTGGATTAATTAGGACAGGGTGGACAGATTTCGTGGGCGTTTAAGAACAATCTCTTGGGCTCACGGATGCAGGCATATGGCAGGTGTGGAGGGAGTCAGTAGACCATGCCAGAGAGCCGAGATCCTTGCCATGAGACTTGGCATCGTAGGTAATCCAGACACGGGTCGATTTAGGTTTTTACGCAACCTAAGGGCTTTAAGTTTGACGCAAGCTGGAATTTTTACGAGCAAATTATTATTCTTTCGTTTTGTTCTTACCCGGCGATGGATTAATACGGAGTTCTTTAACTGGCCAGATCTGGCATGCAAAGACTCTTGGGAGTTGCCTCAGGAGTCGTAGCTCGTTGAGAGATATAAAGATATACGGATGACTGAGATGAAAGAGCGATGAAGATGAGATAGAGATGAGGCATCTGTAGACAGGAGAGATGGGTGAGAAACAAGAGTTGTGAAACGCGTGGAGATGAGGAACAGCTTAGGAGTCGCATGTTACACACGTTGTGACATGACATCACGTGACATCATAATGCCCGCGCAGGTGACATGACGTCCCTTGGCCCGCCAGCAAATGTTCATTATTTCATTACGTGGCGTACGAAACCATTCCATTAATGGTTAATGGGGGTCTCAGGAACAGTTTTAAGTGTGAATGTAGAGGTGCTGCTGGGTTGTTATCTTATTTTAATTTATATAGTGCCTTGATTTATGCACATTGAACTTCTGTGCTAATCAGAGGTGCGGGGGAAGGACAACTAAACACAAAAAAGCAATTCGAAAGAAATAAAGTTTTCAACCTACGTTTATAAGTGCATAGCTCCAGTGGCTTCATAATATGAACAAATAATTCACTATTTGTACAGCAGAACAGTGCGATGAGATGAGTTGATGAGGATGGTAGTACATGAATACGAGTATGTGTGAAATACACGATGATGAGTGACAATGCGTGGTTGATGACGAGTGAATGCGTTGAACGGGTAGGGAAGTTGATGATGGGGAAGGGCAGAGGAAAAGAGGAGTTTGGGGTAAGCGAATGGAAGAATGAAAAGTGGACAGTGAGGCTGATTGTTTGACGTGCAAGGGGCAGCTTGTCCCAGTGTAAGGAGGCCAGAAGCGAGAAAGAATGTTGTGTGCGCGTGCATGCGCGCGTGTGCGTGTGCATGCACAGCAGAGCGAACATTCGGGGCAGGAGGGCAGTTATGCACTTCAAGTAATATTGGCAAATGCAAGCGTTTTCCCTCCGGGTCAATCCGTCATCGCCCCCCACCCCCCGCCATCTCGGCGAAGCCAACACGCAGGGTGCGCCACTCGGCGCCACTGACAACGCTTGCACTGTCACAAGGGGCGCTCGTCAAAATCAAAACGAAAAACCAAAATCACAGCCGCCACCCGTATTAGACGCACAGAGCTCACTTTCACCGCACGCAACTGAACTTTGAGACACTGCCAAAAAGTCAGCAAAGAAAGAGCGAGGCGGTGACCCTGCAGGCGCGATTCGCTATAACATGCGCTCCGAGCCGACCGCAGCTATTGCCCCGCCAGCTTTAACCGAAGCCCTCTGGGAAAACGGGCGTGTTACCGTGCGCCGGATTCAGCGTCGTTCGCACTTATACGTATTCATCATCCCGTTGCTTAAAATCGTTTAATGCTATCCGTGCCCCCCCCCCCCCCTACACTTTCCACACGAGTTCATGGTTGTCAGGGTGGAGCGGACCGCACGAGTAGGGGGTAACGATGGGACAGCGAGCTGGCGATCGGCAGCTGGGAGACGTCGTCTCGAATATCTCTCGACGTCGTCCATCTCGCTCACATGACATCGTCACCGCTGCAAAGGGCGGAACGAAGGAGAATCGTCGTCAACGAAAAAATCATAATCATTATCACCAGCATTATCCCCACCACCAACACTATTGTTATTAGCTTCATCATTAACTTTATCGTTCTCATATATGCCATCATCACCACAATCATTTTTGTCATCACCATCAACTTTTTATCCTCGTCACAATACGTTAAAATTGCATCATTACCATCGTAAACCCCATCTTCAACATCATCAACATCAACAGGATAATTCTCATTATCAGTCATTATTATCACCATCAGCATCACAACTGGAATGCCACTGGGTACAATTAAAAAGAGATGCGACGCCTCGTGCATAGTGTCTCGTCGCCCGGTCTCACCGCACGGCCTGAAACTGGAGATGGCCGAGCCACTCCTGAAGGCCCTCGCCGGCCTCCGTCCCGGGCTGGCCCCTCATCCCTGGAACCGGCACGGGTTCCGCGTGGGCTGCGAAGGCGTCGCTGAACCGGAAGTGCCGCAGCAACGCGCCAGGGGGATCTCCGTCACTGCCGTCACCACCGCCGCCACTCGGTGCGGCCACAAACGCGTATCCGATGTCTTTCTCCTTGTCCCACAATGTCGCTGGGTGCCACAGACGTTCCGGAAAATCACGTCTCTTAATGTGGGATTATGGGAAACGCCGTTATCCTGCTGCATCTCGACACTGACGTGAAAGTGCACGTCAGGTGAAACGTCGGCCGTCTCGCGGTCAGAATGGCTTCTGCAATCGTAATGCAGAATTTTCCACATTGCTACGTATGTACACGTTGGACGTCTTTCGCACCGCACGTAGCCAACCGTGCTAATCGGTGGTGCTGTGGCGGACACCTGCATTGTTATTTTTTGTGAAGAGTTTACATTCACGGTTTTGCCCACCCCCATCTAGCCCTCCGGCCTCTCTACGATCTGTGAAGAATAGCCACATTGTTCATAAAGTGGCCCACTATACACTTTTTATTTTTAAGGCAGTGTTATTGACGAATGAGCCGAGTTATTTTTTTTAGCCTCAAGGACGCATTAAACTTTATTATTGCGTTCAAACTTTTTTCTCTCCAAAATATCAATATCATTATTACTTAGGACTTTGCCTGAATGTTTCACCTGCAACATGTATCCTACAGACTAACTCTTTCATTGCTTTATCGTGGCCATAATCGTCGTTGGTAATTGTTTATTAATTCACAAGACAGTGAACCTGTGGCTGGGTACAGCACACTTCAGTACTGTAAATTATTACGCGGTAAAGGCGAACACCAGAATTTAAATCCATTTTTACTTCCAGATGCAAAACAAATGTATGCACTTACATTTTAAGCATGCGCTATATAGAGACGCAAACAATTTAATGTTCATAACCGCGGTAGTTAAACTACATTCCTCTCTGCCCAACAGCCTTTGAACTGGGTGTGCATGGACACACCACTGTGGCGAGATGTTAACTATCTTGCCTGGTTGACATGAGGTCGTGGGTTCGATCCCCACCCTGGCGCCTGTATATTTGGAGTTTTGCATGTTCTCTCCGTGGTCGCGTGGATTTTTCTCTGGGTCCTCCAGATTTTCCCTCCACATTTAGAAACCTGGATTTTGAGTATTTGGCTGCTAAAAATGTCCTCGTGATAAGCCACTTTGTTGAGCTATCATTTGTGGCCACATTGCTCCTGAAAAAGAGCTATATAGCTCAGGGGGCATTACCTGGTAAGTAAATAGTTTAACAGTTGACCAAACTGCACATGGGTGAACTGTGCACTGTTAAGGTGCTTGCCACAAATGAACCACAATACCTTGCTGATCTCGGCAAGGAGCATAAACCATCACGCAAACTCCGGTCATCCTCGCAGCAGCAGCTTTTGGCTAACCATAAAACAAAGACGGTCACTGCATCGCACGTTTTCAGATGTGCTTCTGCAGCCGTCTAGAACGCTTTTCCTAAATATGAATTAAAAACTCTTTTCTTTAGAACTGCTTTTGGTGTTTAATTTGTTGTCCTTCCCCCGCATCTCCAATTAGCACAGTTCGCTACGTGTGAAAGAAGTTCAACATACATTCATACATACAAGGTTATACAATGATATGGAAGACAAGAAGAGCCAAGACTGTGGGAGGAAAGTGAACTGTTGCAGACAATGGATATCCATTGTAATTTATATGCGTACATTAACCCCCTACACCCACCATGGCCTTCACACCTGATTGGCTCACAAGTAACAACATCACGTGTATCACTCTATTTAAGACCGAAGCAGGAGGAATTCTCCACAACTCTGGCTGTCGCCTGATGATGCTAGTTGTAATTACTGGCAAAACGTTGGACTTGAATTGTAAATGACGTGGGTTTACTCTCCAACACACCGGTGTGCTGTACCAGTAACGAATTGCCGTGTTTCGTTCTACGTGTCGGGTGGTGGTGGGTTTAACGACACGTTTATATTTACACGATCTAACCCAAAAAACCTCTTATGCATAATACTGGTCGTGAAAGCTTACTCTGTGTTAAACTGTTGCAGAAAAATCAAAGCGTTCTTTATCTTGCCCACGTCTACGGAACAAGTCGCCAAAAATACAGCGTGGATTGAAGCAATAACACGAGGACTTTTTTTTTATGAGACCATGTTGATATTTAATAATGAATTAATTCAAAAACGTGGGGGCGGGGGGGGGGTGGTGCGTAGGTTGCAGCGCTGCCAGATTAAAACACGTCAACCGCGTTGTCGCAGTGATTGTAGCGCAAGTACTACGGATTACGTAACGGCCCCACAAGCAATCCAGGCGTAGGCTTCAAGCCTGAAAAAAGGCAGGCCAGCATTTTCCCATTTTGCTCGGTGGCTACGAGGTTGTTTGAACACTTTGCAGCGTTGGAGCTGAGGCATGGTGCAACGTTAGAATAATAATTATGATTATTATTTACACACCCTGTTCAAGCCACTGCTGGATGAAGTCCACCATGATGGTTGTTTGACCATACTTCACCACAATGCTTAGCGTGGGTATATGAAGGTGGGGGGGGGCAGGGGACAATTGGTTCAGACACCACTGATGTTATCAGCGGCCGGGAATTAATAAAAACTCAGGTTGTCGGGTTCATAGTGCAGGGCGCTAATCACTACACCACCGCTCTACCCCGTACGACGTTTGAGGGTGAAAATTGGGTAACAGAGGATGAGACGGTATAACTATTTAAAACGTTACGAGCAATTGCACTGAGATTGAAATAATACTGAATTCAGAAACGGGTTAAAGTCACTTGGATGGCGAGAGGACATATTGCGTTCAGCTGTTGTCAGCATTGTTCCGAGATTGGAGGCTGCAGTTGGGAAATGTGAGGACACATTGAACATGCGGTGTTAGAGTTCCGCCCTCTGGTGGCTTTAATCTGATTATTTCCGCTTGCTCATTTCGTCTGCCGGCGTTGCCGACGCTTCAACTTGCAACGATGCGCCGATTCGTCAATCGCAATCGGTTCCTCCACTCGTGATACATGCATTTTTTGCACGAGCATCAGTTATTTACAATTCATATAATTATATACCTAAACACATTCAGGATCTACCACCAAATCACTCGGACCGCCATGGTCAGGGGTCGGCAAACTGCAACTTCGGAGCTGCCCGCGGCTCTTCAAGGATTGCTACTTCGTGACGTTATTTATTGTATTTACTGAGGACCACCGCTTCGTATTCACCACGAAGTGCATTGCGGCTCTTGAAATATAACGTTTTTCACCAAATTGTTATTTTGGTTGCCGAGACCAGAGCACGGTAAAGTATGGTCAAGCAACCCCCGTGACCTGCATGGCATGGGGAAGCCGTCACCCGGGAGAGGACTGACCAGAGGGCTGTATGTGTGCGCTCAGGCCAACAGACCGAACGAATCCGCATAAACGAGATGGTAAAAATTCGACAAAAAATGGAATCGATTTCTGAATCGCATTGTGACGATTCATTGAATCACTGGGGAAGGTCGGTGAGGAGGGATACGTACCGGCGTGCCCTTCCACGGGCCCCGACGAGTTGGCGAGGGGAATGAGCAGGTGAGCGATCTCCCCGTGCAGCAGGTAGAGCTGGTGGACAGGGCTCTGTGCGGCCGGGCCACTGCCATTCTGTTTGGCACAAAACAAAAAAAGAGATGTTGAATCAATTAATGTGCGCTGGATGCTATGTCGGTTAAATCTAATCGGTTGTTCCTGTGCTTTTTATGCGTGCGTATGTGTTTGTGCGTGCACGTGTGTCTGTGTGCGCGTCCGCGTGTCGTGGGGAGCGGTAGTGTAGCGGTTAGCTACGAACCCGGCGACCCGAGTTCGATTCCCGCTCACGGCCAACACCAGTGACGATTATCTGAACCGGTCCTGGGCCTCCCCTAGGTCGACTCAACCTCAAATGAGTACCTGGTGCGGTGTGTAAACATCGCCACTGCGGAGGCAAAGGCGATCGGGCGTGGTGCTGGCCACCCATCCCCTCGTGTGCAGTTCTGGCCTTCATAGGTGCTCGCTAACAGCACTTGCCCCTACAGTCTGTTAAGGCTATACGGGGGATCTTTGCCATTGTACGTGTCTGTGTGTGCACGTGTGTTTGTGCGTGCATCTGTGCGTGCGTGCGTGCGTGCGAGTGCTCGCCGCGGAGTCAGCCGGCGCCCCGCGGCCCCAGAACGCGAAGGCGTCGCGCCCACCGCCGACCACGGAGAGCACGGACACCCCCGCAGCGCGGCTTCCGCTTGCTCCCAACACAGCCGTCCACAGCGCAGAGCCCGACAAACCGTCCAGCACGGACACCTAGGACACGAGCCACGCGGGACACGCGGGATGGATGCACGCATGGGCGCACGCACACAGGCACGCAAGCGCGCCGTCGGGCACAGGCGAGGACAGACTCGTGAGACGGACGCACGGGCAGAGATAAGGACGAACGGTCGGGGTACATCAATGGGAGCGCGGACAGGCGTACAAACCGATGTGCAGACAGCGCTGGCGAACGCACAACCGTAAGACTGCACCTCCGATTAGCACGGTTGGCTATGTACAATGCGAAAGACGTTCAATATACATACAGAAAATGTAAAACACAACAACAACAACTCCCGCACGCTGCCCCCATAAACTGCATGCATCTATTTTGCTTCCTGGGTTCACTGCTCACCTGCATGAGGCCTTGGCCCAACTCGTGTTCCACCAGGATATCCGGGATGCTGTCGTTGTTGAAGAATCCGTACACTGGCAGACTAAAGAGAAATTGCATTTACAAAAAAAAAGAAAACCCATTCATGTTTTCTTCGTCAAAGAATAACTGACGATAAGACTGCACCTCCGATTAACACGGTTGATCTACGTACGATGCGAAAGAAGTTAAACATATGTACATAAGTCTACGTACTACATTTAATATCCTTAAAGAAAAATCATACCAGCCCACCTCTGTCCTATCATTGTTCGAATAACCTTTATTGTGCAAGACATCCTATTAAACCAAGGCCTGCTAAGGACATCACTGGTCAAACTTGGCCCGGAGGGTATTCACTCCTCATCTGACGTCCTGACTTTCTGGAATTCTCTCTGCTGCCATATCACCCACAAAATCTGCTCCAGAAGCTTCCCTTTCCCCTCTGGTTGCGATTAAATGTTCATCTCAACTGTCATCTACGTTGTGATAATGAATACTGTACTAACCCCGGTAAATTTCGAAATAACACTTGCCATGTTCGAGAGTCTCCACGAACTCACCCCTGCAAACTACTTTGTGTGTTTAGCTTGTTGTCCTCCCCCCGCACCTCCGATTAGCGCATTTGGCTATGAACGTTGCAAAAAAAGTTCAACATACATACATGCAACATTACCCTCTCAAATGACTTTACTCCCCCTTCACGCATGTTACGCTCCACAGCAACACATTCTACTAGTCAACCTTCGCTTCCCACGATCAAATAATTACACCCACTGTTTCTGTAAGCGTCTAGAGATGCGGTTGCATTCAGACGGGACTTCAAATCCACATTGTATGAATGGCAATTATTTGTTTTTTGATAAAGTGCCCTACGCGTCGAGACATCTCCATACCTGTCAAACCCCTTATCAGTGCCCTACCTTATTACAGACCAATTCAGACCTTATTGGTCACCCTGTGCCCATTATAAATCTCAACGTTCATTCTACAAAGTCCCATAATTGAAATGTATGATCCTAGTTGAGTAGTCTGCGGGTAATTTGGAATTCTAGTTATGGTCTGAGCAGGTGAGGGGGGGGGGGAAGGGGGCGGTGTGCGAGAGCGGCACGCCAGTGTGGGCACCTGAGGAGTCGAGACACGGAGACCTCCCACAGCGTCTCCAGGCCGGAGGCATTGAGCAGCCGGACGTTCCCAGCCGCGGCGACGAGCAGGGCCGGGTGTCCACGCCACGCCCCCACCGGGATTGGCACCACGGCCTCTATCGGACCCAAACTGGAACTGGACCGATCCATACACACGGGACGGCAAGCAACAGCAGGATTTCACCCGTGTGGGTGAGCCGATAAATGAACCCTCGATCACTGGCAGGCAATACTATGGTTACTGTTCCCACGAACTTCAGTCGTTGATTTATCCACCCAACCTTGTTGACGACTCTGTTTACTAGACTGATTGTTTAGTCTCATCCATGCTATGCTCAGCCACCATGCTGCACTTCACAACAACTCTCACTCCACCACTCGGCCGGCCTGCTTAACATTTTGAGCCTGAGCCCAGCAACAGTGGGAGGAGGAGGGAGGAGGGAGGAGGGAGGAGGAGAAGAAGGAAATAATGAATGAGGGTACCGATGCACCAGCACGATGCCGGTTAGGTTGTCGGCCATGCCAGCCCACGTGGCGGCGTGCGTTCGCAGGGTTGGGGCCACGGTGGAGTGCGAGGCCGTGCTGACGGCGCGCAGGTAAATGTCCGCCAGGGGCAGCGCCTGCACCTCCCAACCTGGGCATCGCGGCACGTTCAGGCATGAAGATAAATCGTCACGGTCGTGTCGTCATCGCCACCAATCATTGTCACCGATCTTTGTTTTTGTTCCAATTGCTTTGCTTCGTTACTTTGTTTTCGTAATTTTGGCACCAAGGTGGCGAGATGTTAACTACCTCGCCTGGTATACGGGAACGTCATGGGTTTGATCTCGACCCTGACGCCTGTATGTTTGGCGTTTGTGTGTTCTCCCCATAGCTCGCCGTGGTCGCGTGGATTTTTGTGCAGGTCCTCCGGTTTTTCCCTCTGCATTTAGAATCAACACACATTTAAAGAATTTGGCTACTATAAATGTCCACATGATAAGCCACTTTCGTTGAGCTATCATTTGTGGTCAGGTCGCTTCTGAAAAGAGCTATACAGCTCAGTGGGCCTTACCTGGTAAAATACAAAAATAGTTTATAGTTTATTAGTTTTAACTTGGTGACCCAGCTCACTCTTGCAAATTATTTCTCACTGGGTAAACCAAATGAACTTGAAACATAAACATTATCAATATCATCTTCAGCAGTAGCAATACTGTTATGGCCAGTAGCAGTAGCAGCACCATCAACATCCGCAATGCTAAGAGTATTATCAATGACGACATTAAAAGCAATCCAAATCACCACCAAGATTATCAGCAGCAGCAATATGGTTAACGTTACCTCAAGAATGACCATAATCAACATAATGAGTAGTAGTGGCATCATCACCTGAATTATAAAAAAATATGTATATATATAACTCACAGCCCTTCCAACCAATGTTGAATGAAGGCCTCGCCACATCGCATCAATCAAGGGGATCGTTTGACCATACTCCACCATGCTGGTCATTGCGTGTTGGTAAAGAAGGCATGTGACCAGGTTCCGGTTTAGATATCACTCGCCACCAATTTTATCTGTGGCCAGGAATCAAACTCAGGTTGCCTGGTTCGTAATGCATCGCGCGAACCACTGCACCGTCACTGGCATACCAACTCTGCACTGTTGGGTAGTACCGTACCGGACGCGATGAGCACGAACGCGGCTCCATGCGCCGTGAAGAGTAGCCGCAGGGGGAGCGGCTTCTCTCCCGGGGCGATGGCATGTGACACGGCCGAACCAATCGGCTTCCCCGACGAGCCGGACAGGAGCAGGAAGGAACCATTCTGCTGGCGAGAGATTCGCAGTACCCTGTCAACCCATTGCTGGATGATGGCCTTCTCCATGCCATGCTGGTTAAAGAGGTTTTTTAACCATACTTCACCACGCTGGTCCGTGTGGGTTGTTTAAGGCAGGTAATATTTATATGCATGTCAGGAAGCAGAGTAAATAGAAAATATTGTTCTGCTCCCTGCTGCGCACCATACATTATATATATTTTAACGGGATATAATAAATATTACAAGCACAATTTTACTTCGTGTAAGCACAACAATGAACTTCAACAGAGGAATAGTTATTTCTCAGAAGTACGATTAAGAAACTGATGAATAGTGAAACAACGCTTAAAGGTTCACACAGATGGGTTATGAACCCACTTGCTGTACTGCTACCTCCTGGCCACTTCTCAAGCCATTTTGAAAGCACAGCAGGTTAGGAGTATCAAAGCTCACGACGATCTGTGTGTGATCCACCAACCTTCGCCACTGGATTACAGACGTGACTCATTTTTAAATTCTCTCTCGTCACATCCATTACAAGGTCCCACGCAAACACCGGTAATCCTAGCAGCGGCGTTTGGCTGGCCATCGGACAAAGACGGTCACTGCATCGCGCCTTTTCAGATGCACTTCTGCAGCCGTCTGAAATGCTCTTCCTTCTGATATTAGGAAGCCACTGGAGCTATGCACTTTTATATAATCTAGATTGAAAACTCATTTCTTTAGAACTGCTTTTAGTGTTTTGTTTGTCGTCCTTTCCCCGCACTTCCGATTGGCACGGTTGGCTACATATGATGCGAACAAATTTCAACATGCATACAACACACATAAGACATCACCACCACCACTAAGGGAAGGCACTTCTCGAGAGGTGCATTTCGGGAGTGTCATACCGATGAGGTCAGAGAGGGCGCGACCCAGAAGAGGACATCAGGGGTCGTGTCCCCATCGAGGTCACCGACCTCGAGGGGAGGGGTCAGCACCCGGGGGGCTTCGTCCTCCGCCCCCGTCCATGCCTCCCAGATGTCCTTCCCTGCGAATGTAGCACAGGGCCCAGCATTAGAGTTGGGGACTCATCAATTTAACAAAGAGCCAAGGCAGCCACACAAGCCGGTTTCCTAGAATTCCTTGAATTCTCAATACGTTTTAGCCTCGTGCCTCCTTTCTATGACCAGTGTGAAGTGTGCCGGCTCAGCGCTGGAACGAGGCCAGACCCAAGACGCAGCACAGTTCTAGTTAAGACACTGGAACCAGGCTCCGAGGGTCACTTCTTTAAACTAACTGCGTCCTTTTACTTGGGCCGATACCAGAAGCAGTCACTCATTGTGACCTCCCGGCCACGTTGTTCAACATATACAATGGAAATGTAAAAAAAACTAATCGATTTTAGTAAACAAAAATATTGTTTAACCTAAACCATTCATCTTCTTTGGTTCTTTCGGTAAAGTCACGTAGAATTATTTTATTCTCATTCTACGTGACTTTACCGAAAGAACCAAAGAAGATGAATCCTTGCAGTCACGAAAGCTTTAAATCGAAAATTAAACCATTCATGTTAACATTTCTAAAAGAAAAAAGGATATGACAAACTCTTCTCAACTCCTACTCCCTAGCCCTGGAGACTTTGGACTCGGATCGTGTTTTTTTGCATTGTTCACAATTGTAACTTTCTGACTCCGCCACCCACTGGACATCGGTGAAAAGGAGCTTCATGGCTCATCGGATTTCTCCAGGTTAAATAGAAAGTTCAGATTCTGATTTAGGACAGCGTGCGAAGGGAGAGAGCAAGACAAAGGGGGTGGGAGGAACACAGTGGGATTGGAGGAGTCATGTGACACGCGGCACCTTGGGGCTCACCAAGTGATGGAAAGGCGGCCCAGGGGGAGGTGCTAACGTTCCTCAAACTGTTTCTGGGCCGGTTCCCAGCATCCATGGAAACGGGTCATTAATTTGGCTCCCCGAGTCCTCGGTTAATTTGCCCATTGGGGATTGTTCAAACGTTATACCCTTTTTCACAACGTACGCTATGGAATAAAGATTGTGGACACATGTGGCTGTTACCTGATGAAACTAGTTGTAATTACTGGTGAAACGTCGTACTCAGATTGTAAATGTTGTGTGCTGTACTAGTGACGAATTGGCATGTTCTGTTTATATGACAACACTTACTAGTTGGCTGTGTTGGGTGGTGGCGGGTTTAACGACACATTTATATATTTATACGCACTTTGAAATGCTGGTGTTGGAGGGGGGGGTGAAGGATTGAAGAAGCAGATACTGTGTGTGTACTTTTTAAGCTCGTGACAACGTGGAACAATACAATAATTTGGCCGTGAGTCTTCAGTTCTAAGAATCCTTTGTGGCTTGGCTTAATCGGATCACGGTGACCGCTGGCTCACGGTGACCGCTGGCTCACATTATCATCCTTGCAAATTTATATTCTTGCATGCAAAAAAATATTTAAAATAAAAAAGTTATTTAGCTAAGAATCACCCATTCGGGTCTCTCATGGCTCTTTTTTAAGGAGGGTCCTATGTTGGGTTGGCGGCCGCTCACCTTGGTTTAGTTTATTTTGTTTCAGCAGGTGAGAATTCAAGAGACCACCAAGATGAGTCTCATTTGCAAGAGCGAGCTCGGCCACCAAAATGACAACAGCAATAGCGTAAAAACAATGACGCAAATAGAAACCGGCGTGGAAACAACTTCCTCACAAGGTAATCGAAAACAGTACACAAACACAAATCATGATGAGATAAAATAGATATCCCATTATGAAAGTTAACTCGGGAAAAATAACTTAAACAAAACATTCATGGTAAAAAAAAAACAAGCTGTGTAAACGTCAAAAACGGATTTCGGATTATTGCATGACCATCAGGACCAAGATTGGGGTTTTAACTGTCCGTGTTTACATCGCCAACCCAGACAGATAAGCCCGAGTAAGATGCGAGCAGCACGTGCCGTTATCCGCGACAACGCTGCGCAGCGGTCCGATTTCTCCCGACAGCAGGCAGCGCCCTTTCTCCGCCTTGGAGCCGCCGTGTTTCCCGTCACAGCGCAAGGAGCTGGGCCTCCCGTGCAGCGGGCGGCGCCACAGCCGGGCCCCGTCCACGCCCGACACCGCCATCACCTCCGTGCACCCGGAGGCAAACCCTGCGGGCCCCACAGTGGAACAGAATTCCGCGCTCAGGGATGCTGCCGTGGTGCAATGGTGAGCACAGGTGAATCGACGGTGCAAGTTCCTTAAACTCTAAAAAAATATATATATTTTACCAGGAAAGGCCCACTGAGCTAAAGAGCTCTTTTTCAGAAGCGACCTGGCTATCACAAATGATAGCTGAACGAAAGTGGCTTATCATCATGTGGAAACTTATTACAGCCAAATACTCTAAACACACGTTGACTCTAAATGTGGAGGGAAAAACCAAAGGACCTGGAGAAAAAGCCACACGACCACGGGAAGAAGATGAAAACTTCAAATAAACAGGCATCAGGGTCGGGATCGAACCCATGACCTCCTGCATACCAGGCGAGGGAGTTAACATCTCGCCAGTGGCGCCCACTATGTCCACCCAGCAGTATAAATGGATACATCATGGTTACTTGATCGGCAGTTCGTGTACGGTGTGGTAAAGTGTGGTGACTCGCACCTCTTCTAAGACGACTGGTCATTGTGGAAGAGTCAGCCAAAACACCCCTTTGGAAGAGTTTGATAAAGTTTTCTTGAGGGGAGGACCTTCCGATAATTGTGGCGTGAGCAGATAATTGCAAGGCTGCACATTTATCTCTTTTAATTTCTCACCAAATGTTTTCTGGGTTTCTGGCAGATTACAGTAGGCACATGACTCGCAGCAATAGCGAGGGATATACTGGATGCGGTGTACAGGATGCGGAAATATTTTTCAGGTTGCTGACCCAAGCAGACCCGGTTGGTATATGAACCCCCTGAATTTATAAAGCAAAGCACAAACCCAAAATAAACAAACGGCTCTCATCTTGTGCTACACATTTAGGCTAGGTGTGTCCTGGGGCTGTTAGTGTGAAAATAAGTATCTAATTAGTCACGGTCAGGTGCTCCGTCATAGCACTGGAGTCACGTAAGATGTTGTACCTAAGTTGCATACATTGCATATTAAATGAGTCCACGACACCCCATTGGATGCGTGTGTAAGAAGCTAAAAAAAAACGTTTTAATCAATAATTCATTAAAACGTATTGGGTGATGGCGCAGTGATAATGGCACGTGCTTGACAATCTCTTCCTCATTAAGGGGGCATCCAATCCCACGTGTCCACGCCAGTGAGTTTGTGTAACTATGAGACGCCAGACGTTTTTTCTTAGTGAGGTTGGGTCTTGGCATGCCGTGAGCCCGGGTCCTCACCGGCTTTGACGCAGCGTGCTGCAGCGTCACCGCTGCCGTTGAGAGTGCGGTACATTACGATCACGTCCGTGGTGGGGTCCTTGTTGACGCGCAGCATGGCCAACGCGGTGGCGGTCTCCGCTGCACGGGTGAGACAGAGAGACCACTGTGAGCACAGTCGCTGGCGACCCTTGGCCGAGCCCGTTAGCTCGCCGCATGTGAGAACACGAGTGCCATCTAGCGTAGACGAAACTTGGAAGTCATCGAGAGAAGGGATTTAATGCATCACACGCCATCAAATTGATTAATGGTCCGGATTTGGGGGGGTCATAGTTCAATAAAAAAAATTAATGATTTTTGGCATTGTTTTCACCGCCTCGTTCATTCCATTAACATAAAAGGTTTGCATATAATGTGGAATTAATGTGCTTCGATGTTCATCGATTATTATACACATGATTGTATGCATGTATCGTGCGCAAAGGCATCCATTTTAATCGTCACAGTTTACCCGAACACGAGATGGCAGTGCACCGTCTCACATGCCCTGCTATAGAAGTGATCGTCACATTGCAATGCAGTGGAAAACGTTATAGTCTTCAGGGCTGGAGGCTTTCAACTTCAGCACCTTGTTGAACGACGGTGTGGTTTAAACCCAAACCTGCACCCGCGCCCAGAATCTCATCACTATCAGCTCCGAGTCTCCGACATGACCACTGTGATTCCTCCCAAGCCATCCGACCACCTCCACATCTTAAATTGCAACTTCCATTTTACCGGCGACGGCTCCTCCAAACAAACGTCAAAACAAAACCCATCACCGTCGATGCCTACCATGTGCCGGCAGCTCGACCTCCCAGGCAGCACGCGGGGGCATCACAACGGGGCACGGGATGAAGAAGGCGAAGACGAGCACGGACAGGACGCAGACGAAGAGCGCCACGATGAAGGCGGCCGTGCGCATGCGGCCACTCCGGCTCTCGTTCCGCGCCGGGCCCTTTCCGTCGGCGGTGCCGCGTGCGCTCTCCGCGTCGCCCCTCGTCGCGCCGCTCTGCTGCTGGCGCGGGTTCTGCAAATCGCCTGCGCAGCGCGGTAACGCGTTCAGCGGGGGTGATGACCGTAAAGAAAGAGGTGATGGAAGTGGCCGGCGCTTCTGGACATAACAAGCTAACGGTTGCTGTGATGTCGAATAGAACACGATGTAATGTAGCCGTTTGAAGCTTAATTAAGACAAATTGAACAAAAAGGACTTTATATGATCAGTTGGAAGAACTGCTGTCACACTGTAGTGTAAGTTAAATGTATGGGAGTTATGTTGCTGTGCTCGTTTCAGACTGGAACCTGGAAGTGATTTTTGCGTTTAGTTTGTTCTCTTTCCCTCGCACCTCCGATTAGCACGGTTGGCTACGTACAGTAAGAAATAAGTTCAACATATATACACACAGAACACACAGCCGAGGTGCATAGCTACAATATAAGAGCTGTTTGCATTATTGTAGTTTTGTAATCTCCAACAAAAATTTAAAGAATTCTCATTGTCCACCCCCTTTATTCTTGAGTTTTTGTTGGTGCTCATGCAGTACTTCAACTTTTAAAATTATATTTTCATGGTGGTGCCCAATAAATTAGAGCCCCCTAATCAAACCACTGCAGGATAAAGGCCTCCCCACGCCGTGTCAATCACGGGGATTATTTGACCACACCTCACAGCGCAGTTCAGTGGTGGTTTGTGAAGGGGGCATGGACGCCCCGGTGCAGATATCACTCGCAACTGATGTTAGCCGTGGCCAGGAAACTAACTTCGGTCGCCGGTTTCATAGCACGATGCACTCACAACCACACCACCCCCCCCCCACCACCCCACGAAGCACGAGAAGCCGGGGTCCCCGAACGCGGTCTCACCAGGGCCATTGGCATCCGCCTCGTCGCTGCGGAGGGGCCGCAGTTCCACGTTGCTTGCGGTGTCGAGCGCCGGTCCCTTGGCGGCGGCATCATTATCCTTAACACTGGCCACCTGAGCTTGCAGCGGCTGCTGGTTGTTGTTGAAGGTGTCCATGGCTCGCGGAACGGCGCTGCCGTTGGTCTTGCTGTTGCCGCGCGACTGCTTGGCGGCGCCCTCGATCCTCTCGTCTTGGTCCTCCTCCTCGTCTTCCTCCTCGTCCCCGCTCTCCTGGCTGTCCACCTGGGCCAGAGGGTCGTACTCACCGGAACCGCGTCCCTGCTTACCTAAGACGGACAAACGCCACAACTTGGACGGAAACGGCAGCGGTGACGGGAGAGCGCAGGTTTTAATCAGTGCACGGATCAAAGTGTGGTCAGATTAACTCCCCACGGACCGACGTGGGCTGGGAAAGCTTTCATCAAATCAAACCATGAGCGCATTTGGTATTCGCAAAGTTTCTAAAGCAGGACAAGGCTATCATGAAAGCGTTGTGTTTTCACAGACAAGTATAGTCTGCAGTAGTTTTCATCCAGCAGGAAAATTGACTAAGGGCTATAAATGATCACTTTGATTATTTTAGCGTTAACATATGACCATTGATAGGCAATGCCCAGAATAAAAGACTGTGTAGACTAGAGAGATACAAAGGTATCCGTAGTAAAGGTTGTTATCAAATTGAAAACTTGCAGAATCAACTTGTAATAATCATTCAAATGTACACAATGTTCGTAAAGCGTGAAACAAAAAAGCATTGTGATTTTAAAAGTATGTGTAAAGATTAAGTTGTGAATCACAATAAAGCATAATTATACCAGCGCAGCACAATAACCGTTACATGAAAATTAACGTAAAGTTTTGAACTTTGAGCATTAGAAAAGTTGAGGGACTAAACAAAAAAATGCATAAATCATGATTTCGATCAAAGTAAAAAAAAGCGTTGACGTACAATTCCAATGTGCAACTTGAACGTTCTGAACCAACAATTGGACGTGAAAACGTAATGTAAACCAATGTGAGTCGGTGAGTTGACTCGATTAATGGTTAGCGAGGCGACAGTCCCGTGTTTTCACCCTCAAGGAAACGGAGCGTTAAATCGAAAAAAAAATCGGCTGATGATTGACCGATTTGGAACACGATGCCGTTGCTGCGTAACAAATTAACAGGCCGCGTGCAGCGAGGGGTTGAAAGTTGAAAAGGACGACGTCAGGTCCCCTTCCGTGTAACAGACACCGGCCGGCAAGCTGCAAGCTGCTTTCTAACGCAGTGGCAAGGTTTGGACTAAATGCTTCAAAAGAGGACACATTTTTCGGCGATACTGCTTTGGCAGTGCTGCACAAACAACAGCAACAACAAAAAAACTCAACACGTTCGTCAATAATACCGTGACCTGAAAAAAGGAAGTACATATAATAGACGACGTTTTGAGCGATAGCCCTTCTCTTTCACACCATATGGAAAAGTCAGAGAGGTACAGGGCTGTGCAATGTATCTATATACATGCTGTAAAGAAGGGCCATTCACCAAACGTTAGCTATTATGTAATTAATCTCTTTAAGTCGGTGTTTTTGACGACGTGTTGAGCAAAGAGGACATTGCTGTGCTACGTGCCGAAATGAATAATCTTCCTGATCTGTATGCATGCCTGTCCCTGGGGGCATCCGTAAGCTGCAGGCTTGGCTCACAATTGAAATGTCTGCGAGTTCAAATTCCACTCGGGGGTAGATTTAGCTGTCGGCAAACACCGGATTGTGGTCCCAGGTTGGTGAAGGTGATTCTACATTGTAGGGACCATTATTTGGATGTTTGGGCGATTTATTTGCACAACATACATGATTTAGTACTGTTTGTTGTTGTTGTCACGTTCTTATCTGCCCCTACTGGACATCTGTAAAAAAACAGCTTCATAGCTCATCGTATTCCTCATCCATTGTCAATAAACATTCTGATTCTGATAAGTCAACTGCGACTGAATTTACACCAAGCCAGTAATTATTTTTACGAGATCAGGAAAAACGATGGCCTCATTTGACCTTAGCCTGGATATGAACCCTCACAATCATCAATATATATTATTATTTACCCAGGAAAGCCTCATTGAGGCTTTTCAAGCAAAAAGCAGGAGTCAGCTCCCGAGTTTTGAAAGCAAAGCTGCGAACCATTAGGGGTTAGTCTAAAGTTTACACAGCTGCGTAAGAAATGCCAGCAGCCGTGCAGACTGCACGCTGAGTGGCAAGCACCATTAGACTGGGTTAAGGAACGACGCAACCCAAAAGGCGGACAGCAGCTCTTAGATTGGAGATACGTACATAAGCTATGCGTTTTTATGCCGTCCAACATGAGCTTGAAGCGTCATTCACGAAAAATAAAGACTTTAAAGATCAGGTCAGGTGTTACTTTCTTCTGCACCAGTGACAGAGCACTACACACTATCGTGTCTCACCCTAATTTTATTTTCGGATTTCTCGCTCTGCCCAGCATCGTACTTGCTCCGGCAATACATACACTAATGTCAAGGATTTAGTCAAATAAATCACAGTGAAGTCTAATGCGATTGCTTTATTGCGTATACGTCAGCGACTGACCTGGCTGAGAACATCAACTCAATTTACCTGAAATCCCAATTCAATCATATACCCATACCAGGATTTCAGTAGTGCTGGCTCAGCACTCTTGAGCTCTGCACGACTGGGGCCATCTCACCTAACCCTGATAATTAAGTCTCTTTTCTCATGAATGAGGCATCAAATGGTAGTAAGCAAAACGGTCCATACACAGCCTACGTGGACATCGACACCAGAGCTGTTTGTTGGGCTGCGTCCTCCGTTAGAGCGAAGCGGCGACAGAACAGAGTTGAGGTTTATTATTTCCCGGACAGCGTATTTAGTCTGCAGGATGGAGAAGCTGGTGGTTACATACTGATAGCCGATGTTCTCAACCTGAAAAAGCACACATTGGACAACAAAGATTAAACTACAATGGGTTAATTCTACCAAGTAGGCCACGTCAAAAAGTAAAGGTGTGGACAATGGCTAAACACATTTACTGGCCAGACCTGGGGCCAGAGGTGGCAGTTCCACATTACTGTGGTGAAGATCACTTAGCCAGGGACTACAAAATATATGACACTATGCCAAGAGCATGTTAGGTCATGTGCAGTTATGGCAATGTGACGCTTAATCTCCAGTGGCCTGTCTGCCTGTATCTCTGGTACCGTGCCAATTATAATTTCAGAGTCTGCATAGTGTTAGCTGCTTATGACAACAAACACTGTGTAATAAAAACATGTTTTTGTTCCTGGCGAGTACGTGTTATTTCTAATTGTTTATGCCTCAAAAGTACAGAAAATGCCTATTATTCCCCACAAACTTTACTCTTGTGACCAGGACAGTGATATTTTGAAATTTCCCTATTTTCAATGAGAAAACGGCCAAATTTGTGTCATTCCTTCACATAAAGTCCTGGTCACAAAAGAAAAGTTTGTGGGGAATAATAGCCATTTTCTGTACTTTTGAGGCATAAACAATTAGAAAATAACACGTACTACCCAGGAACAAAAATCCTGTTACATAGTGAATTAAAACCGAATGTGCACAATCTCATCAGATCTTGGAAGCTAAGCAACATGTGGTTATAAGCTGCTTCGGGACTATGCATTGTTGTACTTCTATACCCCCACATATATGCCCCCTGCGTTCAAACACCCGCCTCAATACGGCATGAGGGGACCCTCATCCGGCAGTAATTGACAAAAGTAGCCGTACATATGCATTGCTAGGTATCGCAAAAAAAAAATGGAATGGCAGCCAAGGTGAGAGGAACATGCATGCGATGCCTTGAAAGATTCAACAAAGAGTGGCACAGCGGCATGCAGTTGAGTGAGGTTATAAGATCGCAAGGACGAATACCCATTATTAAGCTGGCAACACACGACACATTGAATTGTGTTTTTTATCGTATACGTTGTAATAGGTTTACATGAACCGCCACATTCACCGCAATGCTAAAATAAACAAATGTTACACCCTAAATGTTGAAGATGCACGAAGGAATCCTGACAATCGCAGCAACCCACGACCTTTGGGATTGAGGTCCTTCATCCAGCAGTGGACTGAACATAGTTTACAGTGCAAAAACATCACATCGTTTCAGATAGTCCAAGTACAGGATAAACGTAAAAAACGGAATACAAGGGTGATGTTAATGTATGGATGTTGAACTTCTTTCCCACCATACGCAGCCAACCATGCTAATCGCAGGTGCTGGAGAACAACAAACTAAACACAAAAGGCAATTCTAAAGAAATTAGTTTAAAATTTATATTTCAAAGTACATAGCTCCAGTGGCTTCCTAATATCGGAAGGAAGAGCATTCCAGACAGCCGCAGAAGCGCATCCGAAAGAGCGCGATGCGATGACTGTCTTTGTTCGACGGCTGAGCCAAACGCCGCTGCTGCGAGGAGGACCACCGGAGTTTGCGTGATGGTTTATGCTCCTTGACGATATCAGCACGTTATACTGGTAGGAACCTCTGGTTACACCACCAGCCCACAGGGGATTATTGTGTCCGTCCGTCGTGCATCCAAAAATGGGAGGGCTGGGGCTGGGTGGAGAGGGGAGGTTGGGGAGGGGCTGAGTGGGGAGGGAGGGGCTGGGTGGGGAGGGTCTGGGTGGGGAGGGAGGGGCTGGGTGAGGAGGGGCTGGTCACCCCGTGGTGCCCTTATAAAACTCAACGTTTAACCTACCCACGCCGGCTTGTGCCCGCACTCACAGTCGGGCATATTTGCGGAATACACCACGCCGCCATTGACCCTGGCCATTGACCGAGCAACCCAACGTTCCTACCAGCTCCCTCCGCAGGAATGCGTTTGTAATGATGGTTGTAGTGCACCTTAGTCCAGTGTTTCTCAACCCAAGTCCTTGCAACTATGATACGGCTTTTTTGTGATTAAGTGCAAGGTGCAGAGGTTTAACTTACATATGAACAGAAAAAGAAGGGGAATAACAAAGGCGATTCGCTAGGAGTAAAGAAACACTCCCTCAGGTGCGATTTCAAGGGTCATTGCCCGAAACGTTGCCTATTATATATTTTTCCTTTAAAGGCTACAGTGTTATTGGCGAATTAGTTGAGTTGTTTTTGTTGCTGCCCAAGCTCGAGTGTTTGTATCAAGGCCGTAATTATAATATACACATCCCCCCCCCCAATATTCAAATATGCTCAAAATGTCCCCCCCAATATATTGCTATAAAATAGATTTCTGTTTATATAATTGTGGTTATGGTTGTACTTTATTAATCCCTAATCTCTGCCATTACAAACAGTGAAACAAGAAAAGGTACAGAAGAAAAAACAGCAATGTAATACAATACACTATTAGACAATAATAAATAAAAAGTCCATACTATGTGTTAGTGAATTTTTTTATATTTTAGGCAGGAAATGAGTTTTCAAATTTCGATTTTTTTTCTTGGGGGGGGGGGGGGACCCCTAGACCCCCTGGAAGATTTGGTCCCCCCCAATGTTGACTCCATGGCTACGGCCTTGTTTTGTATTTTATTTTGTTGTTCGTTGTTCAGTTCAGTTCATTTATTAGGTAGAGCCCTGTGAGCCATTCGGCTCTTGAATCGGGTGCAACCACAACAAACAAACGAACAAGAAAACATCTTAAAGTGACTATGTGACTGTGCAAACAAAAAATCCATGAAAAGAAAACGGCAAAATATTCCTGAAAAAATCACCGTACACCAACGCTGTGTGCAAAAAATCCCAGTGGGATGCAAGTCAAACAACAACAACAACCACAAGAAAACTTAGATTAAGGCAATCAGTCTAACTCCGTACTACAACAAAACAAACATGTCCAAACCAAAAAACGTTTTCGAAATCACCAAAAAATAAAGCCATAATTGCAACGTTACAGTGATCATAGGGACTGTGACCGAATTTTTACAATAAACTACATAAATAACATGTAACACCAAATCCTAGAGCCATAGCTGGCTGCATGAGTTACTACACAACAACAGAAGCATCAGTCGGGGTATCAAATTTTTCAATGCACCTTTAAGATCAGCACGCCAAATCAAAATACAGATAATACTTTGCAGCGTCATCCGGAGCGAAACATTTAATTTTATTTTACGCCAATGAATAGCAGTGGCAGCTAGGGGTGTACAACTCCTCTAGAGCAGTTTTGAGAGAATATCTCATTGGTAGCGATTCAAGTTGTAGTTTATTGGCAATAGCATTCTAGACTCTGGGGGCATCAATAGCAAAGGCCCTTCCTCCAGTTGTTGTACGGCAATAGGGAATGTGAAGCTGGTAAATGAGCGAAGACCTGAGGTCAAATTTGTTCTTTGAAACAGAGAGGAGATCCAGTAGGTAGTCTGCGGATTTTTTTGTAAGTACATCGTGAATAAATAAGATCTGGTGCACAAGCCGTCGAACATTAAGAGATGTTAAGTTTGACCCAATGTTGAGATCACAGTGGTGAATCCTATATGGGGAGTTCAATGTAAATCTTAAGGCCGAGTGATAGATGGAATCAAGCTTCTTCAGTACAGTACTTGGGGCTGATTTATACACGATGTCACAGTAGTCAAGTAGAGGCAGTATGGTAGCTTTTATCAATTCCAAACGGAACATTGGGGGGAAGCAGTGCTTGTGTCGATACAGAAAACCAATTTTTATTTTTGTCTTTTTACCAATATAATCAATGTTAATCTTTGTATTGTTTGTAGAGTAACTTGCCGATCCGCCCCTTACTGGGCATCTGTGGAAAAGGGGGCTTCAAATCTCATCGGATTCCTCCAGGACAAATAAAGATCCTGATTATAATTCTGTTGGTGGATTGCCCAGAAAACAAGTGCTGGGGAATGCTAAAATATCTGGGCTGCTGGTGACCAGGTGGTGGCAGTACAGCAAGCTGGTTGTTGACTGTCCTGCGTGGATTGTTTTGTGTTATTTTATACATCTACTACCCGTATGCTTCGGTTTTCTCCCACGTAAAAAGAACCCCACATACTTTTAACAAAAGGAGATTTGTCAAATATTTTTTGACACACAGGGCCTGCCTGAAAATGAGTGTGGCGATGTCAAAACACGCTCGATTATCCAGCGACATAAAGCACCTTCATATTCTGACGGTTGTGTATATATATACACACATAAAGGCAAAAATCATGCTGCTGTTATAATTTACAAACGAGGCAATCGAGTAAGCCTCAATGAACTCGGGTCAAAATCGGACAGCCAAACATCTCACGCACTCATTGGAATTCACCGCCGCGTTTCACGTCGCAACAAAATGCCAGAGATTGAAATGAATTAATTACCCTTGAGCGTGGACACTGTGCGTACGTTAAATGTACTTACGAACAATTTTAAGGAACGTTGACAATCGTACCCAGCAGCGTTCACGACCAACCTGTATTCATTGCAGCAGCAGGTAAATCACGAACTCGTAACGCAAACGATGAACACGTATGTTGCGTCGCGCGATAGGAGTCATGCAAAAATATATACATGTATGACCTACGTTTGGGGAATTCTCGACCTTTAGTCACGAACACACGCGTATGATAATAACACTACTGTACTGTTTATTAATCCGAATTAAATATTTAAGCGTCAAAACGGAATCACAGATTTGTTCTAGTTGAGTCCTGGTGTCGATATAATTGGCACAACGGCGAACTGCGATTCATCATAAACGTATGACTGTGTTTACGTCGTGAATGAAGCTGCCTTTTTGGCGAAGAGTAACATTTTTAAACATTTCCCATCACATTTATAAATGTGTTTTAACACATAACGGAGGGCGTGATTTGCGGCACCCAAACGGATCGAATCGACGTTTCGCGTTACAACCAACCCGAATCGATTTCCTCAACCTAGGTCAGCTTACACGGCATTCGAATCGTGTGCGAAATCGTAAATTGGAATCGAAGCCGTCGATTCTCACATCCACTTAATTTGTTGAATGTATCGCAGCCTCGGTCGCTCGCGGCTGGAAGCCGGGGGAGGGGTCGTGTAACAACTGACAAACAGGCACCGCCGCCGCTAAGCAAATTGCGGCGCTTCGCCGGTAAATCCGACCGACTGCGAGCGGCGGTGGGGGGGGGAGGAGGGAAAACGTCGCCAAAAGAGCCACGCGAAGCCGCGCTCACTTACCCGGAAGCTTCAGTGCCCTGCTCAACGCAGCGGCCATTTTGGGACGAGCGCATTGGGCGCGACCATCGGGTGCGGGCAGGGGGGGGGGGTGCGCGTCAGATTGAATTAATTATAATTACAGCAACCAACTTAGTCTTCTTTGGTTCTTTCGGTAAAGTCACGTAGAATGAGAATAAAATAATAAATTGATAAAATAAAATAACGCAATAATATTCTCACGACGTTTCGGCCAGATTGAATTAATTATAATTACAGCAACCAACTTAGTCTTCTTTGGTTCTTTCGATAAAGTCACGTAGAATGAGAATAAAATAATAAATTGATAAAATAAAATAACACAATAATATTCTCACGACGTTTCGGCCACAACACAAGCGGCCTTCATCAGGTGAAGGGGACGAGACTGTCTGGAGGACAGCGCTGGAGTGAAAAAGCCACGTTCAGATCACGACCTTTAAGCTGTGTGAGAAGAAACAAAGCGCCTTGACAAAGGAATCAGCATAGAATTTAGCATTGAAATGGCTGAGTGATTAGCTTGTGACTGATGTTTTGACTGACCGTCTGTGTTGCTTTATATGGTTTCCAAATTCTGCTAAACTGTTTGGTATGCTTCTCTCTCTGTGTCCCCTGTTGTATCTGTGTTAGTTCCCCCTACTTGGGTGTCTGTGTATACATCTGGGGTTATGTGTTTCCCCTCTCTCGTAAATTTAGCTCTTCTGTACCAGATGATGGCTGCTTGTGTTGCAACCGAAACGTCGTACGCTATTATGTTATTTTATTATTTCTTATTTATACGTGACTTTACCGAAAAAACCAAAGATGAATTCCTGCAGTCACGAAAGCTTCGAACCAAGTTTACAATGGCCACTTCCAAAGCCTCAGGGAGACCGCCTCTAGCCCCGCCCTCTTACCCTGAGGCCTATATAAGACCTTGTTTCAGTAGCTCTCTCACACCTGAAGACGGTCGCTTGTGTTGCGATCAAAACGTCGTGATCTATTAATCTTCTATCTACGTGACTTTACCGAAAGAACCAAGGAGTATGGATGAAATGTTAGTTTAACACTTTTTTGAATGCCACTTTTTAAATTCTACAGAGCAGCGTTCTTCATCGCAAGGCCCCTGGTGGCCTTCAGTGCGGTCCCCAACAATACGTACACAAATAGTGAAAACACCACCCCATCATCAGCATCATCATCGTGCTGCTGACGCGTGGTCGGCGCCACCTCGAGATGACGTACACGGCCGACGCGTGGTGTACGGTGCTATTTCAGGAATATTTTTATGTTTATTCCTGGATTTTCTTGTTCATGTTTTTTGTTTGTTGCGGTTGCACCCGATTCAAGAGCCGAATGGCTCACAGGGCTATTCCAACATAAATGGAACTAAATGGCGCCACCTCGAGATGACGTACACGGCCGACGCGTGGTGGCGCTATCTCGAGATGACGTACACTGCCGACGCGTGGTGGCGCCATCTCGAGATGACGTACGCGGCGTTGGCGGCGCTCTCGAGGCGGTCCCCGTTGGAGTTGGTACGGCCCGTGACGTCACGCGGGTGCGGCGGTGGTGGTGGGGGGGTGCTGTGTGGCGGGAAGTGAGGGGGGGGGCGTAGTCGCCGCCATTTTTCTTCGCAGGGGGAGAGGGAGCCGAGGGTGAAAGGCGGCACCGCTCACATCGCTGCGGCCTTTATTCTCACCCCCCTCCTCCTCCTCCTCTCTCTCTGGTTCCCATTTTTACAAACTTCGGAGAGAGAGGTACTCCCCTCTTTAATTAAATACGTAAAACATACTTGGGACGATCCGATAGCTTCACGAGGTGAGGCGGCGTGGGGGGTTGGGTGAGCGCGAAATGTCGGCGCAGGCGCAAATGCGGGCCATGCTGGACCAGCTGATGGGCACGGCGAGGGATGGTAAGCGCCGCGGAGCGAGAGAACTTTCCTTAAGTTTCGCCGTCGCTAGGCGAGGGGAGCCCCGGCGGGCGGGCGGGCTGGGCTGAGCCGGGGGGGGGGAGTTGTTCGGCAAGTGACTCGATGCGGGTTAGGCCCCAAAATTCGACTCGCCCTCTTGTTCAAATGCGCCACATGCGCTGGGTTTATTCTTAAATCGTTGTGACGGCGGGGGTGGTGGTGTTCGTTAAGGGCCGCGCTTGTGAACTGTGTCTGTTGCCTGTTTAGATTTTGACGAGGAGGGGTTACACATTTTGTTTGTTGCGACAGTTTCCGTCGGCCAAAAAAAATAAAAACCGCGCGTTGCGAGTTTTTTTTTTTTAGGGCCCACGTCGCTACCATTGTGACATTGCCGCTACGGCGAACGCGGTTAGGATTGAGGGTTTAAAACGGGGGGGGTCGTTGTTAGTGATTCAAATTTTTACGGTGCTTATGTTCGGTGTAATGACACTTGTGGAGAAAACTGTGTTGCTCCCCCGACCCCCCCTGTAATTTAGGTGGCTACTCGATGGTTGTACTGTAATTGGCTCTACGTGTTAAAATTTAAATATATAATTGACTTGTTCACAAATCTTGTCATGTCCGTGTAGGTGAACGTATAGTATTTTAGTTCCTTTTGCAATAAGAGTTAATTTAGAATGGATTACTTTATAATCTCGTTAATACTTTTAGGGTTTCAAACTATCAACAACTTTGTTGTCGCTAAACTAGATAATATATACTCATGCGTACAACAGGCGACTGCTATAACTACTGTTAACAATGTATTGCAATCGTTAACAATTTATGATAATGGGCAATTTTATAATCAAGTTATCAATTTGCAATTTTTTTGTTAACAAACTCTCAAGCCCTTGATTGTCGATTGTAAAGTGCTTAACATTAGGGTTGAGGAAGTTCATTTATATCGCCTAATTGTATCGTGGACTCGAGCGGTGGCGCAGCAGTTAGCACACTGGGCTGCGCGTTCGATTCTGGCTACGGATAACATCTGAACCGATTCTAGGATCGCACTCGCGATCGACAGTATTGAGTTTGCAAATTACTTTGACCCTCATTATTATTATTGGGTAGCGATGGTTAATTTTACAAACCGTCATCCTCTTAATGTAGGCGAGCCATCACAAGCTCTGTATGCGTTGAGTGATTTTATCTTCATTAAAATTACATTCAATTATCACACCTTAACACCGTACACTTACTATGTAAAAATTATTATAAAGCCATTGATATTGTTACTCGTACCATTGACAAAAAATCATATTGGCAACGATTCGTTACAAATCCCTAGTATTTTTCCAGATTTTTACGTTGGTATTTTTTCAATACAATAGACATGTTGGACTGCATGTTCTTGGCACCCAAAAACCATTCCATAGCCGGTCATATAGTCGTGTGACAGCACAGCATACTCTTACCCGTTTCAAGATGTAAGGAATTATATAGCACATCAGTGAACCATATGTTGCTGATAGTTGTGTGGACTGCACATGGTGCTTGGACCGGCTCCGTGAGCTTGATGCTCATCAGCTGAGCCTTAAATTGTTTGCACAATTAGCCAAGTGCATGTCGTGTTGCGTGGATGTTGTAATAACAGCCGTGAGCCACCACTGTTAACGTTCTAAAACCGAAAATGGAAAAAAAGTATAATGTAATTATTTAGTATTAATAGGTTATTTTTCGTGCTTTGTCGATTGTAAATTAGAATTGAGGATGTGGGTGTGGTATTGTGAGATTGCTGCTGCTGCTTCTGGTGCTGATCTTTATTACTGAAGGGTTTCAGCGGTACATGTTAGCTCCTGCTTTCACATAGCCCGCCATCTAATGATATCAATATGGAGGGGGCGTGCAAAGAAAGAAGCCTCTGCCACCGACACCCCTCCCACATCTTGCCAAAACGCGTCGCGCTCAGACAAGGCAGCATCAACCGATACAGTGTCAAACCGACTAGGGGAGGGCATCCACCCACCATAGTAACGTTATGGATTCAAGTTGCGGCGATCTAGTACTGCGACGCAGTACTTTCAGTGCTGTGGCACTGCGCGAACGACGTTCTCCCGCTGCCACTGGATAACGGCTGTGGTGGTGTGTGAACCAGGCCTCTGAGGTCAATTATCGCAATTATGTGAATCGTAATGAATTGCAATCGCGGGTGTAATTGTCATTTCAGCTGACGTTGCCCCAATGACTGTCAATATAGTTGACTTCATGTCTGGTATTCACCCACCCAGTGCAAACCAGTCGTCACTGCTCCGTTGCTTGGACGTACCTTCAGGCTAGTGGTTCTCACTGTACATGCCTTTAATCCCCAGCACGGCACCTGCCTTTATTCAATGCAAGTTACGTGGTTTCTCTGTCGGCCTTTATATTTCACTATGTGGCAATCACGTTAGTAGTGTGGTGTAGTGTATTGAATATGGGCTGCAGTTATGCTGACAGAGGACTCGCACCAACATCGAAATTATGTTGACCTCCGCCTTAGCTACGTTGCGTGATCTGTTCTAAGACATTATAGGTCGACGTTCCAGGCAATGGTCTTAGAACGGACAGGGAGAAAAGCAGAATGGTCAAGTGGCGCAAAGATGACTATAATAGTTTTTAATCCATGTGCTACATACGAAATGTGAATGCAAAGTTTGAGGCATTGAAATGCATACAGGGAGTTTAAACAGATATACTGATCATCCCCCAAAGGGCAATGTTGTATTTCTACTCTACTCAGCTTCTAAAAACAAAACCCTCCCTGCATGTTTTCCATATTTGTATTGTGTTTTGAGATTCTGTCACATTTAAACAAATTATACATCCAAAACATTTTTGGGGTAATTTATTAATGTTAACCCATTTTCTTGCCAATTGAATTGGCACAAATGGCGAATTATTGTCAATGATCATAACTATTGTGTCATGGCCTTGGACATTTTGCAGCAGTATGCATCCAAAGACGATGCCCAAGAGTTGACATGTGCACCCCAATCCCTTGGAATCTCCATAATGATTTACACGATAATATATTTACACGATCTAACCCAAAGAAAACCCTTTTTTTGTTGATACTATTGATCACGAAGGCCTACGTGTTAAACTCCCATGCAATCTGAACCCTTTGGATTACAGTTTCAGCAGCTTCTGCTATCAGCCCCTCCAGGTAATGTCATTGGAGTATGACGTACGATTGTTGGGCATGGGAAATTGAACTGCGACTGTCTAAGGCCATGATCTGTAATGGAAATTTCAGGGCAGTAATTTCTGGCAATCATCATCATCGGCTACGGTTTAACCATGAGCGACTATGGCAATTTGGATGTGTAACGGAATGTAGTGACGGAATTTTCTGCAGCCAATGAATGCCATTCCTCGATGAGGGTGTGTATGTTGAATAAAGATTGGTCTACAGACTATAAATGAACCTGTTGGGTGGGGATGTGTGGTAGGCCTAGTACTAGTCACAATATGATTATGGATGGAGTAGGCCTAGAACGAGCCACTAGTTACCAGACAAGCAAACAATTAGAAGGCTTTATGCCCATCCGTCTATATCTCATGCATGTTATGTTTGGATGCCACAAATTTTTTCGGGTTTCAGAAATTGACGTCGGGTGGTCACGTGTTGTCCATCTCAGATCTGATTGGACGTTGCTGCTCCGTTGCTCACTAAGTGCTGCTAGAATCGGAATTGTTCACATTTTGGACAGCGAGACGTTTACAGTGGGAAATGCTACGCATCCATTTGCCGGTGGTAATTGCCGGCAATGATTGCCCTGAATTTCCCAAGTGGATCATGGCCTTAAGGATTGGAGGTTGCATGGAGATAGGAATAACTTGCCTGTTGCTTTAAGGTGCACAAGATCATTTTGGGATGGAATAAAAAAACTGGTCTTTGGTGGTCATGATGGAGAGGAAGTCTCGCATTCAAATTCCGTGAGGTGTAATGCGTAAGGTGTGTTGCGTGCTTCCGTGGTTCAAAGCCGCAGAAGTGGACCGGAATGGGAGTGCAAGGGCTGCAGCTTGAGAACCACTTGCCTAAGAGGCCTAATTTGACATTTTTCTATATACGTGACACAATTTGAAACAAATTACTCGCATTGCAGGTTCATTGGTGAAATTCTTTTCTTAGTTATTCCTGAGCACTGCTGCCTGTGTGAGACGATTTGCCGATCTAGTTTATAAAAAACCTTGTGCCAAATTATCCAGCTCAAAAAATATATCAACCTTTATGCTTGTGAAATAAGGTTGTCAAATGTTGCATTGGGTTTTCGAATTTGTGGACCATAAACATTTGTAGACCTATGTGGCCCAATTCCATTTTCAGCAATTTAAAAAGACAACTTTTCATTTCATTCTCTTGCAATACCTGCATCCGTATTAAAGTGAGGTCTCACCTTACCGGTTTAATAGGGTATCGGTCGATTCCTAGTTTGGAAACAAATAAAATGCTGCCACAAGACATGATGTGCATGCTTAAACCCTTTCCGCAGACAAACTGTACATGTGTACGTCCTTTTATTTTTTTTCACGAGACAACCTATTGATGGCAGTGTGCAGTTTCATAGCTTAATATTTGTTGGCCAAATTCTGTATACCTATTAAACAATTGTGGCCCCCTTGTTTTATTTGCAAAGGTTCAGTGTATCTTTGCCTGCCTACCTCAGTCTGCAAGGAAAAAACAGAAAAGCGTCACATTCGCCGAGCCGTGAGTCATGCAAAAAAAATAAATTTTAAAGCTGTGTTATGAAATGTGGAAAGTGCTTCGTGATTCCGTCGAATTTTTACGCTCCAGCGTAAAAAAAAAATGAAAACACCGATGTGACAGTTTTTTGTGACAAAACACCCTGGTAAAAAGAGTTTTCAGTTTCAACATACGTTGCTTGAAAGGAGCCGTAAACTCGAGAGAGAGAGAGAGTGCAACTATTTTTATTTGCTCTCGAAAACCTAAAACTTGGCTAAGTTTTTTTTTATATATGTGTAAAGCACTCTCTGGACATGCCTAACGTGTTTGTTGGTTGAATCGTGTACAATGTTTACCGTTTTTTGGATTGTCTCTACTTCTGACTACGTCCTATCACAGGTTTGTGGCTGACAACGTTTTTCCTTTTTAGTGTTCTGCGTGAGGTATAAAGTTTGTGCAGCTGACCAGATAGTGAAGACGTGAAATGGTGTTGTGTGCGGCAATCGCAGTGTGTATTCTATCTTTAACTTTGTGTTTTCCTCTCTGGCATTGTGTTCATTATGTATTCAGAGGCATCCTCCCTGAAAAAAAAACTTGCATCACACCTAATATATTTTAAGAACACTGATATTTACACATATTTTTGCCTTGGAAATGTTTTCATACAAAATGTGCATGATGAGTTTTACTGTTTTGTATTGACATTAAACACGTCATTCTGCTGGATTTTTATGGCCTACATGACAGCTGTAAAAAGGTTCGAATTCCCTTTGTTAATGTTTTACAGTCCATGTATTTTTCTACGTAACTATATCCCAAGGCAATAGCATATATACGCTAGTGCAATCAACTCACAATTTTACCTTGGTCACATATCAAAAAGCAGAGCTTTGTCCCTGCTGTCCGTAACAAGGACAGTGCACGATGTACGACAGTGCATCTGTTACGAATGGCGCAATGCAAATTGCCCCTTTCTGTCTCCCTGCTATGTAGCAAAGTGCTGCTTCCGTATGAGATGTTGCTGAGAAATTGAATCGTGTTTAAAACCCATTGTTGCAGGTGACGTCAGTCGACAGCGCATTAAATTCACAGACGATGTTGTCTGCAAGAGCCATCTCCTTGACTGCTGCCCCCATGACACGCTGGCGGGAACTGTGAGTACAGGGCTCTGCCTTTGGTGCTTCTGGCACCCAGACAACTGTGAGTTTTCTTAACGGGGAGAATTGAGGAGGGTGGTAAAGGGTTGGCTACTTACACGGGTAAAGGAAATGTCCCACCAAAAGTGGGAACATTCCAGAACGGATAAGCAAGTCGGCATTAAACGAAGTGATCGATTAGTATTGATTGTTAACGTCATGGTACATGCAGCAAATTACGTGTAGCAGGTGATTATTCACCATTTGTAAAATTTACATGTGAATTTACATGTAAATTTAACCTAAAGGCTAATGAGAATGAACTCGACAGACGAATGCAAATTGTGACAATTCACCAAGTTGATATCTCAAGTACGCTGAACAATAATGCTCGAAACAATAAATAACACTGCCTTAAAGGAAAACAATTATAGTAAGGCCACGTTTTGGGTATTTGCCCTTCGTAGCACTTAAATTATGTGGCAGTGTTAAGGTTTTTGTTTATTGTGCTTGTGCACCACAGCCAATGCAGCATCACCAAGTAACATACACAACAAAGCAGGGCCATGCAATTTGATGATATGGTTAAGTCGGCATTTGCATTGCCTGTTGGTGGACAATAATACCGATAACTTGTAAACATATTTACAAGTGTGGGACGTTAGCTCTAAAATGCACTGTTCTCATACAGACGGTGATGATATTTCCTGCCCAATATAAATATTGTCATCTTGTGTAAGTATTAAACAATGTTTGGCTTCTATTTCAGAGAATGGATTTGGGAGACTGCCCAAAGACGCATGATCTTGCTCTTCGTGCTGATTATGAGATAGCTTCAAAGAAGAAAGACTACTTCTTCGAAGTGGATGTAAGTATATATTTCATTCATATTGCTTTTGTGTATGTGATGAAAATATATTTTTATAAGATAATTATTCTCACAAAAATTGGTCCAGAAGGCCAACAGGCTGATGGGCCTCCTAAGTGTTATGTTATCTATTGGTGGTGACACAGATCTGTATTATTTCCCATTATTCAGCAAGACAGGGTATTCATTATCATAGTTTTCTCTTTTGTACTGAATGAGTCCACAGTGTTTGTGGAGGGCTATTGCCTTTTACACCAGATAACCCAGGAGCATCTGTATGCCAAACCTTACCACGATCATTACTCATAAATATTAAACCATTCTGTAGTTTGCTGCTGAAACAAATGATCCCGGAACACATTTGTCCAGAAGGCTCCTAAGCTGATGCACCTACATTATATTTGTATATTTGAAAATGAAACACCCTCTTGTATGTTGATATTCTCACAACTAATTAACGCAATCATAAGGAAGGTTCTGCTTGATTGCCATTAAAAGTTGATGAAATGACAAGGCGAAAATCGTGTTCAAGCTATGCTGATATTGGTTTCTTAAATGTCTCTAGCCGACATTTTGCAGTGCTGGGAATGACTCGTGCAATCGTTTCTGTTGCAAGGCTATGAAGCACTTGCAGTCGTTCATTGCTGACTGCGACAGGCGAACTGAAGTTGCCAAAAAGCGCCTGGCAGAGACCCAGGAAGAGATCAGTGCTGAGGTGTCTGCCAAGGTAAGAAACCCATTTAAAAAGTAGAAACCTCACAATACACACAAAACGCCTGGGTTGGGCTTTCGGAATAAAGTAAAACCTTGGATTGCGAGCATAATTCGTTCCGGAAACGTGTTTGTAATCCAAAGCACTCGTATATCAAAGCACTCGTTGTATATCAGTTGTGATCATGTGACGCTCGGCAGACAGCGTATGTACATGCTGCTCGTATTGCAAGACCCTTGCTCGTTTTATCAAATTAATATTATTTAAACATTTTGCTCGTCTTGCAAAACACTCGCAGACCAAGTTACTGGCAATCCAAGGTTTTACTGTTCAGGTAAAGTATTTAATGCAACGGTGTTGTTTCCCTGCGCAGATATCCGTGTAAAACATGCATCAAAGAATTTAGAACGCTTCCTCGTGCAGGATTCTCCAGAGAGTCTTACATTTCAATGAGGCTTTTCTCGGTAAAGGAAGTTAATGATTAAGAAGCATGCCGTAGGGAAACGTTACGATTGTGCCGGTACCCGACTAACATCACTATTAGTAATGACTAGTATTAGTGTATATGTGGGTTTACTTTTTCACAAGTTGATCTCAAGTAATTTTTGTTAAGTAGACCTGGAGAACACAAAATATATTTATTTTATAAACATGCATATTTTGCATTGGCCTTTATGAAGTTAACGTGAAATGCGAAATAATTTCTACATACATGAAATATAAATCCATGACATTAACAATGTAGTTCTCATTCTTGTATTGCTAAAGTAATATGCAACCTATATGAAACCTTCTGTTTGTATATATTCACCATCCTGTGTCGAAGGCTGTCCAATTCAAGCTTAAAGATTTTGAAATGCGAAAACGAAATTGTAAACATTTTTCATTTTCTTGTGTTCCATTTTCCATTCACCCACTGCTTTGCCTTTGTAACGGAGCATTTTGGTGCGGTCATTGTGATGGTTGAAATGACGAGAGATGGCTGGTGTGGTTTTCGATAAGAGGGTCCCAGTTTGGTTGAAGGGAAAAGTGTACAAGATGGTGGTGAGGCCGGTGCTGGGGAACACGAAAGAGGGAGGACCAAGCTATGGTAGTCACACAGATGAGGATATTGTGGTGGATGTGTTGGGTTTGACAAGGAAGGATAGGATCAGAAAAGAAGTGAGAGGAATACTCAAGGTGGTAGAAATCACAGAGGAGATGAGAGAAAAGGCTGGTGTGGTTCGGCCATGTTGAGAGACAACAGGAAAATTATGTGGGTCAGAATGTGCAAGTGGTAGGAACGAGATCAAGAGGAGGGCAGAAGTAGAGGTGGGGGGATATGGCGCAATCGGACACGGTGGCCCGAGGAGTGGAAAGAGATGGCGCAGGGCAGCGTGGCGAAGGTTGGCAAGGGCAGCGGACCCCACATGAGTGGGACAAACACGTGGAAGAAGATTGTTTTTACTGTCTTGGGGGCACCGGGAATTAAACTGCGAGTATCTCAACTCATGCTCCATGTGAATTCCCCCCCCCCCCTCCCCCGTGCAGGCTGAGAATGTGCATGCCATCAACGAGGAGATCGGCAAGTTGCTTGCCAAGGCCGAAGCCCTGGGTGCTGCAGGCAACGTGGAGGAGTCCCAGAACGTGATGGACGAAGTTGAGAAAGTTCGACAGCGCAAGCGTGACGCGGAGGTAAAGACAGGCACCTCACTTCCACACCAGCATTGGCACAGTCGTATGCCAACAGGAACCACAGCCCTGAGCCACATTCCTTTCACAGCGGAAAGTTCTATACGTTAGTACAACAGTTGTGCATTCATTTTAGTGCGTAGGTTTTCACAACCAATTGTCGTCCAAGTTAAGCTAACAATTGTCTCTTAAGCTTTAGCTATGCACTACTCGTGAAGAGAAAAAGTGCTCAACACGTGGCCTAACCTGTAAGACTACACATGGTATTCATATTTATAAATCCTGGATGGATGATGGGGTGAATATGACCACCAAGATTTTAAATCAGTAATGCAACAACAGTCTTCACTTGTATTTATGTAACCACAAAAAGGATTCATCTATTGATTCGTATGCTCGTCGATAGTATATGCGAGTTTGTATTTAATGGATTATTTCTCATGTATTTGAATTATATGCACATTTGGGCATGGAGCAAAGACAACTTATAATGAAGTAAAAAGGGAAACCGTACAAATGCCACTGTCAAAATGAGACGAAGAGATAATCGCATCCACAATCAAGACTGCCGATCTCGAATTCTTGAAACGTGGCTGGGAAGCGTCGATCGTTGCATAACCGCGCCGCTATTTGTGGCCCGCAGGAGGAGTACCGCAACTCGATGCCAGCGTCCAGCTTCCAGCAGCAGAAGCTGCGCGTGTGCGAGGTGTGCTCCGCCTACCTGGGCCTGCACGACAACGACCGGCGCCTTGCCGACCATTTTGGCGGCAAGCTGCACTTGGGCTTCATCGAGATCCGGGAAAAACTCCAGGAGCTCAAGGTGTGAGGCGGCGCCCCCCCCCCCCCCCCCCCCCCCCACAGTTATCATTTCACATTTGATGTTGTGCTTACATTTGGAAGAACATATCTTGTAGCACATGAGCAGAAACTATGCGTACGTTTGAATGACCAGAAGTGATGAGAAGATGAACGGTCCCAACTCAAATTGTTACACTGTTTAACTGTGATTTGTCACTTGCAATTTCTGCAAAGCAACATAAATGGTATCCAAATCTCGTAGACATACTGCGGTCTGTTTTGGTCTATGAGCCAGAGCAGAAATTGGTACTGCTTGTGGTGGCAAACGTTTATTCATACCAATGTCTGCAGGGTTTGTCAGTAACAATGAATTGTCGATAGCGTTTCATGCAGATTCAGTTTGATTGACTTGAAAACATAATTCGAACCACTAAAGTTTTGCCACCTTGGGGGTGTACTGACAACACAAATATCTGGTCTTGACCCATAGGCTATTTCACCAGCACTTTAACGGGGCAAGAAATGGTTACGAAGTGGATATTACAGACCCTGTGAGTCTTAATTTGTGTGTTAGTAGAAAGGCTGTTTTTGCCAATATTCGGTGTGAAAATGTGTCAACGTGTAACTGTATATGGCTTATAGATATTTTTTTTTACTTACCATTAATAAGAAAGTGATTTTCAATAAAACAATGGGTTCTTATAGCTGTATGTGCTTGAGTAGGCAATGTGTAGATTAAATAGTAAATTGGAATGTGATTTTTCTTTGTGAGATTTCAACTGGTTTAATTAAGGAGTTTGCATAATAATGTTGTTATGGCAACACTTAAATTAGAATAGGTACGAGGACTCCATGTATGACTCATTGTTTGAGTTCCTCATGTTTGTCTTTTGATATTTTGTAGTTGATAGGCAGTCGGGGACTAATTTAAACACTCACTATTGTGCTATTTCCATTGTTGGTGGTGGTTGTATGGATATTTTTTGACAAGTAACACACCACTTGTGTGTGTTTTGTCATCTTAATTTAATATATTCTGTTTTATGTACGATCTTTTTCTACGTAAGCTTTTTCCATCTGTTCTTTATGCTTTGTCTTCCTTGCGAAAGCGAGTCGTCTCAATATATACAATTGAGCGCAAACCCTGCAGTCAAGGTGACCCTGCCGTAAAGCTCTAAACCCCGGTTGCTTTTTTTTTCCGCAGAAACTTGTGGAGGAGAAGAGGGACAAGATCGAGCAGGACCGTATGAGGAGGTTGGACGAGCGAGAGCGCGAGGACAGACCACGGAGGAGGCGAGGCAGCAGCCCCACAACACCGCGATATAATCATAATGTTTAGAATGTCAGAATTGTTGCTACCGTGTCTGCCTCGTGTGACGGGGCCAGTGACCATCGCAAGCAAATGCGTCGTAAATAAATACATAATTTGTCGTATTTGTTAAGTAGTGCAGCTGCACTAGTATCATCTCTGTTTTAACCCTCCTTGGTTTTGTGCTTTTGTGTTTGTGGGCAGGTCGAGGTCTCGATCTCGGAGCCGCGAGTACAGGGCGTAAGTTACCACACCCGTAACCCGGAAACTAAAGAGCTCTCTTATCTGGTAGCCGCATACTTTAGGCTGTGTCCAGTTCTGTCGGACAATTTTTTAAAGCTTCATTCGTGGAAAAACAAAAACTTAAGTCGTGGCCCACACTAGGTTGAGAAAGCACCACCATTGTTAATTCTAGTGGCGCTCCTGCAATGTGACCACCATAGGTATTAATACAGCTAATTCGTGACATGCAGTGCAATGTGAGAATTGGCCCATTAAGCCGATGGAGGTCAGTGCAAGCTGGGGAATTTAAAAGCAAATGGCTGTGCTTGGTCTGGGGGGAGACCGTTTCAGAAGGGCATCGGAAGTTGTCTATGTACAGCAACAAATTAAAACTGCTGCACTGTCTAGCATTGATTTGACATTGCTGTGATCTTGGGTTCAAATCCAGTTTTCAGTTGCCCATGCTTAAGACTGTGTTCTCACTTTTAGCGAAAAGGTTCTTAGTCCAGTCGCCAATGACTTCTCAAAATAAATCCATTTGATTAAATGATATTTTTCACTTAATTTGGCAAAAGAATCATATCGAACGATTGCAAATTTTGGTACGATTCTCTTGCGATGAACATTTTCATCTTAGCAGAAGGTGTGGGAAAGTGTAAAGATGTGAAATCACCTGAAGGGATATCGGAAGAGTTTTGGGATAATTCTCAAACACAGGGTGATCCACTGCTCTTATCTTTCCAAACGGATGCTTTGTGTCATAACACGATGGCAACGGTACAATAATAACATTTTTGGAAAAGAGGCAATAAAAAGGAAATTGCTACACAGCAATGCATCAGCGTCACGTTGGTAACATTGTTAAGTAGTATCAATTTCTTATCAGGGTTGCATTAAAAAAATTGCAAAATGACGAGCTACCACTTATTTTAATTGGCGTATATTGCCAAAAATAGAAGTGTATTTTTTATCACAATTTAACTATAAGCATTCTGTGCGGTTGTGTAAAGGATTGCTCTTGTTTTGTTATCGCTGCCTGAAAAGAACAGCCTTGTTTATTTTAGCGAGTCAAAAACTGCATTGTAAACGGGCATGAAGCATCCCATATTTACCTTAGTTCTTGTTACCGTGCCCTTACCTGCACTATAACCACACATTTCAAGAATACCATATTTTTCAGAAAACACAATTGAAAAAAAATGGTGCCATGGACTCATCACGAGGCACAACGTGGGATTTGTTAACAATAACATGAATTTGTTCATGGTGGATTTATTTGTGGTTTGTTGGTTCGAAAGATATTCTGTATCCAATACAATTTGGATTCGTAAAGTGTCCAAACACAACTGCATCGGAAGGTACTGTACAGACTTTATGGTGGCGGTACACAGTGGGAGGAGAGGTGAAGGGAACACGGTATTTAAAAGCCAGAACATGAATTAAGGAAATATAGAGATAGCAGTGTGGACAACCAGGGAAGGGAATTTACAGACCTCAGAAGCGACAGGTAAACAGAAACCAACCCTCTTCTTGGTTCTTTCGGTGAAGTCACATAGAGTGGAAACAAAATAATAAAAGATAATAAAACATAAAATAAAAATATACAATAAAATAAAAAACCAACCCCCATTGATCAGCGGTTGACTGAGTCATTTGAAAGTCTTGGTTCCTGGAACAGAGGGGAAGTAGATCAAGAAGGGAGGTTGTTGCCAAAATGGTCTTAGGAGATATCACACATTTTTGAATAGGAATAGGTTTTACCCTTTTAACTGGCACAAAAACTGACACCTTTATTCAAGCAATCATGTTTGCAATAACCACAACACAAGCAGTCAAAATGCAAACAAAAAAGACAACTCTGATAATAATAATATGCACTGTCCTTGAATTTGATTGATCCACACCCGAGACAGCTTTTCTTAGAGCCTAGTCTCCATTGGTGTTGGACCAGAAGACGCCAAAAGGCGTCTCGGGTGTGGACCAATCAAATTCAAGGACAGTGCATATTATCAGAGTTGTCTTTTTTGTTTGCATTTTGACTGCTTGTGTTGTGGTTATTGCAAACATGATGCCTTGAATAAAGGTGTCAGTTTTTGTGCCAGTTAAAAGGGTAAACCTATTCCTATATCTTGTTTCTGGCAAAGGAGGTCTCATAATATTTTTGAATGTGTGTGACATCAGGGCGGTCTCTTGTAGTTAATCTAGCATTGGATTGTGAACTATTGGACCGATTTGAGTGACAACATGATATTACAGTTTGTCGCATATCTGACTCGCTGTGGGATGAGTTATAGGCGGATGTGTTGAAAGGTGCGTTATGTCAACATTTATATAAATTGGCAGCTTCACTATCCACAATACTGCACTGGGTCTGGGCGGTTAAACGATGCAGGTCAGAAATGCGACGATTTATCGTGTTTGCTTAGTGCGTGTAAAAAGTGAAGGCAGTGGCATTTTGTATCGTCTCGAAGTACAAAAACACTTTATAGTTTTCTAATGGGATCATCTTTTTCCCCCATGTGTGCCCCCCCCCTCCCATAGCTCACGCTCCTCGGGGGAAGGACGCAGGAGGCGCTCGCGCTCGGGCTCTGCAGATAGACGGCGCCGCTCCCGCTCGGGCGACCGCCGGCGCAAGCACCGCTCACGTAGCCGCTCCCGCAGTCGGCACGGGCGGCACGGCTCCTCGGAGCGCGGCGCCCGCCACACGTAGCCCCGGGCTGCCCCCCCCCCCCCGGACTGCGTGTGTGCGAGACAGAGATAGAGTAAGTGCGCAAGTAGTGTACTTCAGTGTGCTGTGGAGATGTGGCGATCAATCGATACTAATTTTGTTGTTGTTGAGGCTCCTAGTGGGTGCGTTGAATGACGCCTGTAAGAATTAACTGTTTCATTGACTTGTAAACATAATTCGGAGCACTTAAGTTTGGCAACGTTGGGTGTACTAACAACACCAACGTCTGGTCTTGATCCATAGGCTGTTTCACCAGCACTTTAACGGGGCAAGAAATGGTTACGAAGTGGATATTACAGACCCTGTGAGTCTAATTTGTGTGTCAGTAGAAAGGCTGTTTTGCCAATATTCAGTGTGAAAATGTGTCAACGTGTCACTGTATATGGCTGATAGAAAAAAAAATTGCCAACCAAATCAAGGTTTGGTGGTGGGGTGTCGTTACCTGTTGACTACAAAGCTTCCATGTGCAGACTTGGCACATGCATATTCTTACACGTCACAAAATGGTTTGAAGTGAAGGTCGTTTTGTTCATAACTACGCTGGTGGTTAAGCAAAAGTAAATGTTAATAATTTGTGGATCTCAATAAAAGATGCAACTCAAAAAAGAGTTGTCGATATGTACCAAAGCTGTCCCCCCTCCCCTCCCCATATTTGGAACAACCTTAAAAGTTTAATTTATGAGAATAAAAACTTCTAAGTCACGCTGAATTGCATCATTGTAGCTCTCGAAGAACTCTCCCCATATGTTTTAATACAATTTAATTGAAGTTACGTGACCAGAGTGCTGTGCCAAAGCATCTGACAAATTTTACCATTTGTTTTCACTTTAATTAATCTTCAAACGCCTAATTGGACAGACTGGAATAGCCACAGCCTAGTTAATTATCTACATGGCAAAATCTAGCGGTGTTTTTAAAATTTGCACTTTTAATTGCGACATTGTAGACCGACATCTCCGCCTGTTGTAGGAGAGTGGAATTTCCACCAGGGGACATTAACACTGCCCAGTGTGTGTTTAAAGGTAGGAGGGACACGGTTAAGTGGTAGTCCTTAGAAAGTATTGAATGTTTTTGCTTCGTTTTTTTTTGCACTGGTACAGATTGTTCCGCCGAGGGACGTGACATGACGGTCGGGTGAAGACATCTCAAACCCCAGCACACGCGCTTTAGTGGCCGATCCCTTCACCCCATTCCCACGTCCACCGCCACATCCCATCTAGCATGACACGGCACATTCTCCAATCATCCGCCTCTGGCTCCCGCCCACCCCGCCTCCTGCAGTGAAGTGCCGCATTTTTAGCCACCATCTGCATTTCAGCACCCACCACCACCACGCCCAACGATCGACCGTTGGCCACAGCCGCGCCACCAATTTAGTTTTGCATTAAGTTTCCAACTGCAACGACGGGGGGGGGGGGGGTGCACACGCTCAGTGCAACGATTTTGAGTTTTATTTTAACGACTTGCAAGGGTTCAAATAGTGCACCGTCGCTTTCCAATCGCGTGCACACGCTTCCACTTGCTCGCATGCCACCTGTTTTTGCCGAAGCCTGTACGACGGTCCCATTTTGCTGCAACCGAAAGTGCTTCTGGATGCTACTGGGTGAGCACCAACTCTCCCCATTCGTGGTGGTACAATTCCCTGTTGGGAATGGTACAATTCCCTGTTGGGATTGTACCGCCACGAATGGGGAGTTGTATAATTCCCTGTTGGGAGGTGTAAAATTGGCAAGACGTTGTACCATTTCGGCTCCTATCACGTGTGCTCAATCAAGCATTCTGCTGTACAAAATTGTTTTTCGAGATAATTGGACTTTGAAAAGCAATCGGTGAATATTGTAATGCAGAAATGTATTTTAGTTTTTATTTTGAGAAAACATGCATTGTTGAACATGGTTATGTAAATGGGCTAAATAGTTGTGGCTTTTCTAGTCTTAGGTGCAGCTGTTGTACATGAAACTCTATTATATAAAAGACTTGCTGAGAATACCACCAATATTGATAGTTTAGTTTCATTTTTGTAGCTACTTATGGTGAAATTTGCGTTTCACTTCATACTGTTCTATTACGTTTTTTAATGTACATTTAACAGTGTGCCACGTGTTGTAAAAATACATTTTATGTTTTGGTCATCCCATGGTTCTTACCAACATGAGTGAGGTGTCTTAAAGGCTGATAGGCATATGTTGGTCAGTGCCCTCTGGTGCTGGTCACTGTCTTCAAATGCTGACGTCACTGGCAGCTCATGGCATCTTTTTTGGTCAGCCCTCGAATCCACTTGGGGGTTTCCATATTCAGAATAAACGCAGAGGCGGATTAAAATGCAGACAGTGTATATACAAATGTATGTAATGGTTACCCAGGTCACTCGCAAATTAAATTTTTGGTCTTTTTGAGTTCGTACCTGGTGAAGCAAAACATGAAATACGGGACTGTTTGCAGGTGAGGCACGAACAAATACAAATCGCTTTCGCCATTAATGCTACTTCGTAACAGAAAAATGCTTAACATTTGAGGCAGTGGTCCATTCTTCAAACTTTAAGCCTATGGTATTTTTTTCTGTTACAAAGCAGTGTTAAATTATGCACATTTTAGAGTTTTAATTTGTGCTCTTGTATCACATTTTGGTTTATAGCCAGGCTTACAATGGAAACGCCATGGAGTTCATGCTGTAAAACGCCAGGTGGCTGTTGCGTCTTTGTAACAGGATCGAGAATGTGCAACTGGCACATAGTTATTTTTAATTTGGATCTTTGAGAAGTCAAAGGAAAGTGCAAATTCCTACAGTTAAACATCTTGGAGGAATGTGCCTTCATGGGACGTGCCGTTTGGCCTTGTGGCGCGCTTACTGCTCATTGAAATGAAGCATTTAAGGGCGATTTGGGCTTTTCCAAGATGCCCTGGCAAGAAAATACATTACAATTGTTTTGAATCGACTTATATCGCCGTTGCAGGTTTGTGATGGGTTTGTCAAATAAAGATGTTAGGCCACAATTCCGAGCAAAGTGGTGCAAACATTGAATTTATGCATGTGTGTGCTCAATAGCGTATGGTATGTATGGTGAACTTCTTTCACACCGTGCGTAGCCAACCGTGATATTCTGGTAATTGTACTTTGCGCTACGAACCCAGGTGACTCTCGAGTTTTGATTTCCGCTCACGGCCAACACCAGCGACGATTATCCTCGGCCTCCCCGAGTTCGACTCAAATGAGTACCTGTTGCTATGTATAAACATCGCCACTGGGCGGACAAAGGCGACGGGGCGTGCTGCTGGTCTCCCACCCCCTCGTGTGCCGTGACGGCCTTCATAGGCGCTTGCTCAGCACTTGCCCGAAGTCAGTTAAGGCTATACGGGGGATCTTTGTGAATGGGGTCCTGCGAGTTCAAAAAGTAAACGCAAGGCTTACTGACCGTATGCGGTTTGGTTGGAATATACCTACGCTGTTTTTGATCTGCAACTGAGTAAAGGCCTCGTGGATATGAAAGCCTCTTCCTGCCTTCTTTAGCCATCCGCTCATTACATGGACTTTTACTCCCTGTACCTATAGTACAAGATACAATTTTAGTGGTGGAAGTATTGGAACGTGACGCATATCGGTTTGATAAAATGCTTCTAACCTCCCGTTTAGGTGAATAAAACTGTTAGTCTCTGCATTACGTGATCTTCAAAATGTTTGTCGGTATATGTTGATCACCATGTGGGAAGTGTTGCTACATTTGTGGCACGTTTGATAAAGCGAACAATTGCCCAACAGACAAAAAAAAATACTGAGCGCAATAGCAGTTGGAAGGGAGCGGTTTCCATACCCAAGCAAACAAATGAGGAACTGAAAAGAACACGGTGTTTGTTTTTGCCTTGGCTTTTTTATCATTGATTTGATCTGCGTTGTTTTGGTCGAAGAACATTTCCTGCTGTAACTTGCCTCGAAGCAAAACGACTTGAGCGGTTTAACCTGTCTGGCGAAAGTACAAGCATAGGGCGGAGCGATTTAAAACAGAATAAGAAGCGTTGAACAGTGGTTTTGTGGGTGCCCACACTTTACGAATAAGACGCTTTCAAAGAAGCTCATCATGGTGTTGATGAATTCAACGTGTTATGCAACCTCTTTGGTAAGTTATCAAACTTTGGATCCTACACACGTGGCTTTAATGTGCTAAACACCCGGCCCATTCATCCCTGCCGCAGAAATGAGGAATTTCCACAACCGCTTGGAGACCGCCCACGAAGATGAACAACCACCCGACCCTTGTTGGAGGATGGTATTTTTTATATTATGAAACCGATAAATAAACAAAAGTCTGTCTCTCCACATAAAAAATAAAATATTTGTAGTCGATCAATTTACTGGCCTTCCCACCCAGTGTATTACATCAGCATTAAAATCAAAGCATGGACAGGCTTTTACATTCATGGGTTTCATCTGCACACTCAAGCTTTGTTATGTTGCTGTGCTGACGGTAAGAGACAAACATTTGAGCACCCTCCCCCCGCCTCGCATGCGCAGGGTTTCTCCGGTTGCTCCGGTTTCCTCCCACGTATACAAACACTCATCAAGTTTAAAACGTCTCAACATATAGAGGGAAATAGATTACTAGCAGGCAATATGTCTGCATATATATGCCTCTCTACTAAAATATGTACCTTGCACAATTCATCAGCCTCCTGGGAGTGCATCATTTCAACAGCATCGATTCAGTACAACCCAAACTCCGTATCGGTTTTGGCATCCGTGTCTCATCAGCAGTCAGGCTTGAGTCAATGCTGGTGAATTGCCTGATGTTATAGGCAAGGGCCCTCTCCCCAGTACATTGCTCCTATTTCCACGCAAAGCGGTTTACTGTAATCATGTATGGTATTATATAGTACGCAGCTGTGAATATATGCCTTCCTGCTGTGTATGGTCATTGTTATGATCGGTAGAATACAAATGCAGTTCACTCCACCTCCCCCTATTGAACGAATGCGATTTTAATGAACGCGTGCGTGCGCCATGGCTGACGCGAGTCTCGCTTAAAGACAAAGGCGTTCGAGGAAGTAATACAGTTCGGTGTTTTTTTTTAAGCACGTGTTTTGAATGATAACACTGAGATTCTGAACAATGCGTATCTATGCAGTTGCCCTGATTCTACGTTATGAACCCCAACGCGGGTTCCATTGATTGACGTTCTTTATTTAACAAAGCGGGGGGAAACGCGGAGACGAATTATCGATTGATTAGCAAAGCTTGCAAAATCGTACACACACGGCGACTGTTTAACTTACAATGCGGACCTAGATTACTGTTGCATTTGTGGGAGCTTACAGAATTGCGAAACAAGTGAGCTGTGAATGGGCTGCTTTTTACGGTGTGGATGAGACATTGCTTTGATGATGACGACGACGATGATATGATGACGATATGAGTGTGGATTGTTGTGAACATTGTGGATGATTAGCACGAGTGATCAGTATTGTGGTTGATGTTTGATCACGCCAACGATGGTTGTGTATGTTGATGACTGATCATTGTTATTGTGGATGGTTATCTACTTTGGACGATGTTCATTGCGGATGATCTGCGTGGATGATTGTGAATGATGGTTCTTATTATTGCGGGTTATTTGTTACGTTGGATGTTGTTCAATGTGGATTATTAGTATGACTGTGGATGGTGATGATCACATTCGCAGGATAAACTACAGACGCCTGCAGACGGGGATCGAACCACCACGTCTTGGTACCGTCTTGACTCAAGCTCGCCTGACCACTCGATGAATTAATGATGTCACCCGAACCGCGGTGGCATTGTGTTTCTTGGGGCTCCCTTATTGTTTGTCGTCGTTCATTTGAAAACAACGAGTCACGCTCAAGGGACTCGAATTGCCCAAGCGAACGACGTTGTCCCTAAGCTACCGCAGCGTCGTGATGTGGCAGCCTTAATAGGTGCTCCGCCAACTGCACTTCCCCCCCCCCCCAAAAAAAAGGTCTCAAATAATGGAACGTTGTGTTCCTTTGAAGGCGTGTGTACGCGTCGATGCGTGTGTGTGTGTGCGTCTGTGTGTGTCTGTGTGTATGTGTAGGTCGACTCAGCCTCAAATGAGTACCTGGTGCGGTGTGTAAACATCGCCACTAGGGAGACAAAGGCGGCCGGGCGTGGTGTTGGCCACCCACCCCCTCGTGTGGCGTGCCGGCCTTTATAGGTGCTCGCTAACAGCACTTTGCCCCAACAGTTTGTTAAGGCGGATATTGGTCTTTGTTATGGTCCTGGGTATCCCGTAATTCAACTATACCTTTAATTGGTTACATGGTGCAGTGTGTAAATACACACCAGCACTGGGGAGAGACAAAGACGGTCAGGTCACCCCCTCGCGTACCCGTGCCGACATTAATAGGTGCTCGCTAACAAAACTTGCACCCCAAAAGTCTCAATAAGGCTACGTGGGGTTGGGGCATCGTTGTTGTATGAATACGCGTGTTGGTGCATGCGTGAATGCATTGGTGTTGGCACAGTGGGGAGCACAGGTGATGAATCTGTCAGTCATCTCGTAACACCTGGGTCTGTGCCGTGACGTCCTGCACACAGCCTGGCACATCAAACAATCAATAACACCTGGGTCTGTGCTGTGACGTCCTGCACCTAGCCTGGCACAGACAATAACACCTGGGTCTTTCCCGTGACCTGCACCTAGCCTGGCACATTAGTCAACCTATAACACCTGGGTCTGTCCCGTGACCTCCTGCACATAGCCTGGCACATCAGACAATCAATAACACCTGGGTCTGTCCCGTGACCTCCTGCACCTAGTCTGGCACATCAGTCAACCCATAACACCTGGGTCTTTCCCGTGACCTCCTGCACCTAGCCTGGCACATCAGTCAACCCATAACACCTGGGTCTGTGCCGTGACCTCCTGCACCTAGCCTGGCACATCAGTCAACCCATAACACCTGGGTCTGTGCCGGACCTCCTGCACATCAGACAATCAATAACACCTGGGTCTGTCCCGTGACCTCCTGCACCTAGCCTGGCACATCAGTCAACCCATAACACCTGGGTCTGTGCCGTGACCTCCTGCACCTAGCCTGGCACATCAGTCAACCCATAACACCTGGGTCTGTGCCGTGACCTCCTGCACCTAGCCTGGCACATCAGTCAACCCATAACACCTGGGTCTGTGCCGTGACCTCCTGCACCTAGCCTGGCACATCAGCCAATCAATAACACCTGGGTCTGTCCCGTGACCTCTTTGCCAGCGTCGAGCCTTCTGCACTTCACGTGGCCTCAAAGTGCACCTAGCCTGGCACAAGCACTCTAATGACATTACTGCCTATACTTAGTGGTGGAATGGCGGCCGTTATATTTGTGCACTATGTATATGTAATTACGTTTGTATATGTGTGTATGTGTCTATTGTAGGTACGTGTGTGTTGCATCTATATGTGTACACTGCACAGGAACATGTGTTCTATGTATGTAAATGTCTGTGTGTATGATAATCGTCACTGGCCAACACCGGTGACGATTATCTAAACCGGTCCTGCGCCTCCCCTAGGTCGACTCAGCCTCAAATGAGTACCCGGTGCGGTGTGTAGTAAACATCGCTACTGGGGGAGACAAAGGCGGCCGTGCGTGGTGTTGGTCACCCACCCCCTAGCATGTGAAGGCAATATGGGGGGGGGGGGGGTCGTTGTCTTTGTGTATATGATGTGTCTATGTAACTTGTGTATGAGTTTGTCTGTACGTGACTTGTATAAACGTGTGTGTGTGTCGTCTATGACAAAGAATCGTCACAGCTCATCGGATTCCTCCAGTATAAATAAAGATTCCGATTCTGTATAATGCAAAACAGCTGTGCCTGTGTGGTTCATTTGAATTGTAAACATTGCATGTCAGTGACCCCTAAATATCACCTCCACCCCCACGTCTGAATAGATGCTCGCTAACAACACTTTACCCTCGCCATCGTTAAGATTATTTAAAGAACCAACAAACGCTTTTTACCAAAACCTGCCTTTGTTATTGTTGCCTGTGTGTGTTGA